GGTATTTCATCCTGATTACTGCATGGAAATGCTCTTACACCATTCTGTCTAGAACAAAGATTGGAAGGACCACACAGAAGCAGTCATCCATCCCTTCCACCTAATTGTTGTTTGTGGTGAAGGGAAAAGAGCCAGACAGATTGTCACTTCTTGCGGAATGACAGCCTCAGCTTAGTAATGGCCTTCTATATGACTCTCGGATTGATGACTGAGTGCCTCCAGAAAAGGCTCACAGGTCTCATCCCCAAAGCCCATTGCAGTAAACCTCCACAGAAGAGGATCCAGAAGGGTCCTTAGTTCCAAGTAACAATAAAAAGGTAATAAAGAAGTCAGGACAATAACCAAAGCCTGTTCAGAATTCTACAGAGGTTATGTAAAGGTGCTTATTGTACTTCAGCGAGCTTCAGACTGAACAGTGAGTATACTCAAGAAGGAACAGTTTTGGGGTATAGAAAGGGAAGTTGGGGAAAGGAAAAGACGGTATCTCAGCTAAAAGTGGTGTTCATTTCCTCAATAAATAAACTGGAAAAGTGTAATAGAGAATTATAACAGTAGGATTGCCTCCAGAATGAAATTCTGGTGAAAAAATGCATTTTAAAAAGACTGGAGTGAATTTTTTTGTTTCAGGAATTTTACAGGCATGATGGGTTATGTCAGGTTTAAGGTAGCATGAGAAAAGGAGGGAGAAACACATCTGTTTCGGTGTTCTCAGTCTGTCATTACAATACAAAACACAACCACTCCAGTGGGAAAACAACACTAAAAAATGAACTATAATGGGAAATCTATCAGATTAAAACTTACCGTGTGAATGTATGGCAGGAAAGTCAACAGCTTTACAATGGCAGAGAAAACTGTCACTAAACTGTGCTATTTACTAAGAATACTCTAACTTCTGATCTGAAGGGCAATTTTTGTGATCAAGCACAGATAGAAATGCCCATATTTTTAAAACAAGCAATTGGTTTTTGAATCCTTATTTTTAAACAGAATAACAAAGAATAACTAAAATTAATAAATACCTCATCAATATATTTAAGGTTCTCTGTACTTGCTTTAATATCTTGTTCATAAGAGTAGAGTGCTTAAGTTCATTAAACCAGAAACTGGGTTTTAATTCATAATAAATATTCATTATTCAATAAATAAATATTTCATAGGACTTGATCAGAGATTTCCATAGCAAGTTATTTATACTGTGCCAGGTAAGAAAGGAAGCACCTCTCGGCAACAGTTACCCAAGCATCAAGTCTACTGAAATTACTTTCTTTATATTTAAAACCACCATGGCTTCAGATAAACTTCAGATAAAACCTTAAAAGCTCAATGCAAGAAGGACATTTTATTGTTATTATTGACTGGCTGTTAATGAAATAATTCCAAGAAGTACAGAATATTTTTGCTGCCATTAATTTCATTCTTGATCTACATTACTGCTTAGGCTAAAATATTACTTAATCATGTACATGACCATATTCTCGATTTTTCCTTTTTGTTATTTCCTTAATTGCTTATATATGACAAATATTGCTGCTGCCCAGGACAGAATTCTAGCATAAACATAGATGTTACTTCAAAGAAGACACCTTATATATATTTTGATGCATTGGATGAAGCAAACATTAAGCATACAGAATTCTAGTAACTGTAAGTCAGGGAAGAGACAACTGTACCATGGGTATCAATCTTAAAAGCTGCACTTTTATTTTACTAAATTATCTATGTTAAAAACAAATCTGTGCCTGGTGTGGAATTTCACTGCATCAAGTGTTACAATATCTTGTTTTTATTACAAGCAGGAGAATGCATGTAGAACAAGTGTTAAGAAACATGACAATAAATTAGAATATAATTTACAAAAGCAAAAATAATAATAATAAAGTAACAGTGTACCACATTAATACTGAGTATAAAATAATAAGCAACTAATCACAATAATACAAAGGTAATTTCAGTCTGTATTATTAAGGATATCTATGTGACATTCACTCCTTTATAAAGTTCCTAATGAAATGGACTGTTTTGGATGTATACACCTTGAAGGATTAATCTTAGATCTTTATTTCTGTTTTGATATTTATCAGCTGATAGTATTGCTCAGCGGAATTACTGGCACCAGGTTTCTGCATCTTGTATTGTACTATTTGATTCTAGGTCTGTCATATTTATAGCCTACACAAAGACTCCTTTTGTCACTATTTAGGAATATAACACTATTTAGCTTAGATTATATAGATGGCTACAGTGTAGCAGCAGCAATGAACTGTGCCTTGAAACCAGTTATTTTTCTTTGAATTAGGTTTCATATTTCAGTCTTAGTCTGTAGTGTTGCTTAATTTGTAAATCCATATACATTCTGTGTTTTGTTCCCTTTAACAATACAATTCAGCATTGCTCCAGGCAGTTCTTTAAATTCCAACCTCAGTGCTGTTATATTGCAGAGTAAACATGAGAATCCCCGGTGTTCTAGCACCAGTAAAAGAGCAAAATGTGTCTTTGGAAACATTCCTTACAATTTTCATGTCCTAAGTGAGGTAAAAAAAAAAAGTTTCTTTTCAATACAAAGAAAACCCTTTTCTCATTAGCTGAAATGACACATTAGCTGATAAACAAAATCATGCCCTGGAGAAAACTGGACCTTGATACAAAGAGGCCTCTTACTTAGGGAATGTTGTAACAACCCCTTACCCTTTCATCATACTTCTGATCTAACCAGGGCATATTAGCACCAAGGTGTTCTGTCAAAAGGATACAGGAAGTCAATTCACTTAACAGACAAGGACTACATATTGCCCTTAGTCTCTATGTGCAACTCCCAAAAATTGGGATGCTTTTATCTACTGGTGTCAGCTTTAACAGGAGTTGTTTACGTGGTGATGAGAGCAACAGATAACAAGCATATGTGAATACATGCAAGCCAACTGAAAATTAATTCCACTGGTCACAAGCGTACAGAAGTGGAAACACTGGCAAGAGGTAGCAGATGACAGGAATTTGATGGTTGTGAATACAGACATGGGGCTACACAAAACCCCTTGACAGATTGTCAATATGTTGGGGGGATTTCATAGTATGAGTCCTCTTAACATTATCTATTCTTCCATGTTAATTCACATTAATAAGTAGTGTGCAACATATTTGGTTTGTTATTGGTAAAATACATTGGTACACTTCAATCTTATATTTTGAAATTATTTTTCACTGAAAAGATTACCTTTTTTTAAAAAGTGCTATTTGAGTTAGAATTTGTAACACATTATTGTTCACATAATTTTAACTGCTTTGCAAAAAAGGAGTCATAGTTGGACACACAATCACATTCATGAAGTACCTGTTGCAAAATGCAAATGTTCAAGTACAATATATTATTATAAAGAAATACCTAGTTTCCTCATCTCCTTGTTGAGTCTGTTACTGAAAAGTGAAGGGGAACAGGAGCATGACAATTATATTTTTAATGTTATATTCCTGATTGTGACTTGCCTAAGAAGTTTGGTTTCACTTTTAAAAATGCAAAGTATTTGGTGAATAATAAAAATAGGGTAATATGAATAAGTGGAGCATGGCAGTGAAGAGTTAAGGCATCTAGCTTCTAATTTAGAGGCATGACTTTGTTCCAGTCTTATGCTTAAAGTTTCCCCTTGCTTTAAATATGGTCCACCTTTAAATAAGCACCTGGCCATTTTAGTGAAGGAATTCACTACAGCCACCCCTTTTTCAGTGTGCCTTATTTCTGACGGTCCAACAGGTCTCTTGGCCCGAGCACACTTTTGCCTTCTCATTTGAACAGAACCTAGATACCTCCATGAGTCACTTATTCTTTGGTTGCAATCCTTGCCACTCAGATGCAGTCTCCTGAACAGAACATCCACATATTCCTTCTCATAAACAATACCTCTGCTATGGTATCAAAGGAGGGAACATCTGGAATCCATTTTAACTTTCAGCTTTGCAAAGGATTGTTGCTATTACACAGTAGGCTTATCTTTTGCATTCAAATTCCTCAGTTTTGGAGAATCAAAGCTAACACGTAAACCAAATCTAGAAGCCCACAAACCATCTTTGTGGCTAGTGTTGTAAACAAAAGTGAGCTGGAGTCAAAGTGTAAGTTCTAAACAACCTTTATGGTAGTAGCAAAGGAACTGGCAATCCAGTCTTCACCACTGCTGGAGTCTGACTCCCCCATGATACTGAAATATGTTTCTTTCAGTGGAAATCTGTCTCACTTGTACAATGGTAAGATGGCTATAAACCTGCAATGAAGATTTCATTTTGTTTCATAGCACACTTGTATTTCATGCACCACTGCAATAATTGTTGCACCTCTTAAAACTAAGTCCCTCATGGTTGTTCTATTTAGTATAGCTTTATATATGGCTCACAGCAGTGTTCAGGAAATATGAATTACTCCAAAGGGAAATAGGTGGAATGACGGAAAAATACTTTTTTTTCTAAAAAAATTCTGCTCCTTAAATAACATTTCCAAGCTCATTTTATAATTTAAATTGTGGTGCTGTGTCAAGAGATAAAATAGTTAAGGTTTTTAAGCTATGACTTAACATTTTTTCTGATTCTTCTTTACTTCCATAGTAGACCAACTCATAAGAACTACATTTTAAACAGTTTTAAATAGAAATGGATTCAGTGTCATTGCTAAGTCCATAATAAAAATTATTTTAATGGTGCAAGGATGTAAACAGACTATTGGATTTAGTCAAAAGAACATAAATGTTCCACAGTAAGCTATTCTATATGTGTTGTGTGAATCTTTCAAATTTGGGATCCCCTCATACTGTGTCCAGCACTTTGGATTAATAAATCCCACTTCACAGAAGTTAAAATAATATTGAAATCCTGTCAGCTGGGGCTGACCAGTGGTTATGTTTTCCACAGGGTAATGCATTTGCAAGGACATCAATCTCATTCCGCTGTGTGGCTCTCTTCGATGGACACTCTTCCACAATGTTAATAACAAGGCACATTCTTCTGCTTCCTGTGGGTCAGTGTCCTTGGCAGGTCTTGCAGCACATCTGTCTGAAGTATGCTCGACTGCAGAACTTGAACTTCAGCACCAGTGGGCAATATGCCACTTTGTTCACATCTTTGCACTCTAATAATTAAGAATATTAAAGAGAAAACAAAACAGAAATATAAATTAAAGTACAAAGAAAATTTGATGTTTAACATGCTTCTCTATCCATCCACCTTGCTTTCTTTGCAACTACTCTTTCTAGTACAGTCTAACACATACAATATTACAAATTTAAAAAGCCATAAAAATGTTTGCAGGGCTTTCAGACATTTAGAAGTGCGCAGTCTTTGCCTTGTAAGCATTATCATTTATTGGGATAACTGATCACTTTACGAAGTTAGAAAACGTGAGTCTTTTTCTCTACATTACTTTTAACTTCCTTCTCAGGAGTTATTTTATTCATTCATAAGAAGTTATCATTACCATGATTCACACTATTTGACACCACGCCTGTGACTTGTGAGAATCCTTAAAACAGAATGAGCACTGCAGCTAACAGGGATGGAGAAAACTACACAAGTGTTTTGAATAATGGTACCATCAGGGCGAGTTCAGTGACCAAAGTGAATGGTGGATTACACTTTAGGCTTGGTTCCACACATCCACAGTTTATTTTATGCTAGGAGGAAAGCCATTTTTGTGCCTACTACACGTAAAAGCTTCTTTTCAAAGTTGTGTTTTGCCTGTGTGCTGGGCTTACTGCCTCAGCTGCCCTGTTATGCTGGCAGGTAATTTTCCCAGGAAGGGAGAACAGAGCTCAGCTCCATGGAGGAGGGTTTCTTTTGCATCCCACACAGGTTGCATATAAAGTGACTTTGTGGATACATTACAGGAGCTGGAATATGCTACATATGGAATATGTAGTTCTCCTCTGGCTCATTTTTTGCACCTGTAGTAAGAAGGTGGAAATGGGGAACGGAATAGTTTGGTTCCTGCTCAGTTCTTATCCTAATACAGCTGGAGAAAGAGCTACATCTGAGAATTCAGTGATACGCTCAGGCTCTACAGCTCTTCAGTCTCCATACAATCTCCTAGTACATTATTCTTGCTCTGGGACAGGGTGTTACAGATAGTAGATTAATACTTGCAAGTATAGTGCATTTGCAGTAGCAAACTGAGTGCAGATGAGAATTTTTAGCATTTGAACCTAGGAAAGCATTAATGAGGCTGAACTTTCAGGTCTGACCAGTATTTCTGATAATGGCAATATGCATGCTTTTAGCTGAGCAAGGAGTGGTTAGGAAATTATTTAAACTTTCATTTCATTAACACAGACATTGTGCTTTCATTGCAAATCTTTTTTTCTTCAACTCTACCTACATACTGCTTTTCTAATTTTTTAATTCTTAATGGAAGCATTATTGAGGGACAGAAGAAAAGACATTGTGGGTAACTGGTTCTAACAGATATATTTCTCTACCAGCACCCACACATGGTCACTGTATTTGACCACCTTTCAAAAACTCTTCACGAAAGAGGTCAAATATCCTCCAGAAATATTTCAGGTCCTCATGTTTCTGAAGAATGGGAATACAGAAGAGACAGATGGTGAATTATAAATGAAGTGAAAAATAAAAAGGTTCATTCGATCTCAACAAGACATAAAAAGTTCACTCAATCCCAAAAATAACCCTCAAACACACAGTGTTTAGTTAAACAAAAGTAAAGCCACTAACTGCATTTTTGCTAAAAGTAGGGTTTTAAATGATCCTTTTTCATGTTTCTCTTAAGTTATTCTTCCTCTTGAGTAAACCTGGATGCTGTTCAGCTGACGCCATTTGGACAGCAATGAGAGAATATTCTGGAAGTCCCCCACAACTTCTGTTTTAAAAATCAGTTTTGAAATAGATATGGTGGCTGATGAAATAGCCTATTCTTCATAGGACTGTGGCATGGAGAAGGTTTACCAGAGTTCCTTTTGTTTCGAGTAAGAAGTGTTAATAAGTTTCAGTAAGCTACATGTATAAACTCTGGCTTGCTGAACTTTGTGGCTAGATCAGGTGATATTATGATATTAACTATCATTTTACATTAAAAAAATCACAAAATGTCACTGTGTCTCCAGCTAAAGAAATTGCATAATATAAAATATAAGAAAGAATGAAATTAAATAAAAATAGACAAAGCAGTTTTTCAGCTAAACTTTTAGATGGGCTTTAGCAGTCTAGATTCAGCAGACAAATATGTATTTAAGAGAACAGAATAATTCTGAATATATTTCAAGTGTTGTGGTAGATGATGCCTGCAGTTCACTTCCAGCAGAAAATGCAACATTATCTTCATCAGTGGCAGCTCATCAAAACCACATCTACAATATTCTAAATCACCAATGAAAAGTTTGAAAGCCCCAGAGCTGAAGCACGTGTAAAATATGTCAAGATTCAATGTAACTTTCTTTTAGTATTTCCGTATCCCCAAAATTTTGGCTCTTGTTTCATGCAAACAACCCATACCTTCCCAAAGAAAAATTTTCCAGACTTTACCAACATGATCAACCACAGAGCAGCTCAAGCTTCCTCAAAACTCTGTATGATTTTATCCTTGGGTAGCAAAATTAAATTGATAAGAAACTGTTGAACAGGCTCCACCGTCTGTGAGCACAGGCATTTAGACAACAAAGGGAATCAGGTTTGCTGGGGTTTGAAGCAGGAAGAGATCCCCCCCAGATAACCTGACCTTGCTGCAAACCAGTGTGCTGCTGCTCAAAGTTGCTTCTGCCCCGCAGTGGAGCCCAAAGCAAGAGGCAGCGCTACGAGGTGGCACACAGGCAAAGCCCCAGCCTGAGGGCAGGTATTCTCTGCTACACACACACACTCCCAAGTGGACAAACCCTCTCTCTGGGAGACCTGACTCCTTCCTTGAAATCCAAATACTGACAGTCAGATCCCATCCCACTGTACCTGCAGAGTGACAGAAGTAAGCACAGAGACACAGCATGCCTCACTCACAAATATATTAACGACAAAGTATCACAGCTACAAAATTTCTCCCATAAAATACTACTTTTCCAAAAATAGTTGTGATCTTTAGGATTAGTTAGCTCTTGAAATCTTTTCATCATCTTCAGGATGTTGAAAAAGATAAGCCTGTCTGTTTTAAGGCTGTCACTTTACTGACACTTTACTGAACTAAGAGATGTCAGCTCCTCTTGCATCTAAGAGGACTTTTTTAAAGCAGAAAATGTGTCAAATGTGCACATTATTCTGCAAATCCTGTTTGTGCTTCTCATATTCACTATATAAGAGCAGCTGTAAAAAAATTAATAGAAATACTAGTACAAGTATTGAAAAAAATACCTTAAAGATAGAATTTTTCCTAATTTTGGGATAGGGTAACCTTAGTCTTTCACAGATTGCGGCAAAATTCTACTGAAAGGATCTAAACATTTTAAACTATTAAATGAACTTTGAGATAAATACCTCTAGAGTGGGACATAAACAAAAATGGGACACTAAGTGGCAATGTGTTGGGAACTGTATCCTTTAGAAAATACTGTGCTATATCTCTTCCCCTTTGATTCTTCTTAACTGCGCTAATGAGCCTGGATGGCAGTCAGTAAGGAGCTGGCTTGCACCTGGCTCTCTCAGAGTGCAGGCCAAAGAACTGACAACCATCTGGAATACAGTAGAAGAGTTTTCAACATTTTCTATTTGTGGATCCCAAAAATTTTCCAGTGAAGGTGTGGGTCCCTAAAAACACAATTACCAACTGACTCACTGTACATAAGCAGCCTGCACAGTTCTACTGCAGAGGAATTCAGGCCACCCAGTGTATGGAGATCACACACAGAAAACCCCTGATTGCATTCTTCTATAAGAGACTAGCATATTCTCTGATAGTACTGAATAATTACTAGTGTAATTACTATAAATAACAACATGACCTTGTCAACGGGAAATTAAGCGAAGACTGGGACTGAATCATGTCCACTTATAAGTAATTTATTACCTTCCTTACTTTGGACTTAAGTCAACATCTCTGCTTGGAAATAAAATGTCATGTAGCCTATGAGATTTAAAAGCCTGAAAGTTTCCTAGATTGATAATCATCACTTAAAAGTCTCTTGACAGCACTAAACAGAAATAAGACAAATTAAATAACCAAGAAAAAATCTGGTATGAAGATGTTTTCGAATGATATCATTAGATGATAAGCCTCTACTTAAAATTAAAACTTTACTAAAAATAGTGAATTACAGTGATCATACATTGAACCATCTGTGTATTTCAGGGACAATTTTAGATGCTCCCATTTCATCACAAATGTCTCTATTTGCCAGACTTTTATAACAATTTTGAATCAATGGCATGGGCATTGATGGATAGAGCAGGCATTGAATGACCACCAAATCTGGGTAGACTGCAGGACAATCTCGCCTTTAAAAAAATTTTAATCAGAGCATTTGTTCCACGTAAATATGATATTAAACTAAACTCCAGTGTAGTAGGAGATCCTGCATAAAAAATACACAATTATGTATTGCACAGGGATTAGTTATATTAAAAGCAACAGTGCTAGTGACATTGCAGTCAAGTACTCAAAATTCAGGGAATAAGTGTTTTAGAAAGACTGCTATTGCTGTGTAATCTCTTAATAGGAGAATTTCGTATTGCTTTCCCCCTTCCACACAAAATGAACTGCTCTCATGAGCAACTATTCTAAATTTTGTAATCAATGAGGAAACGTATTTTTTACTGCCTAGCACTCCAAGTCTACTTCAAAGTCAGCATTTCCTTACAGTTTGGCATAGGCCATTAAGAAGTTCAGATCCGAAGTATTCAATAAATGTGAATAAACTTATTTTCACAATATTATCTTATATATCCTCCACCAAAAATATGTTATGATGAAGTTAGTTAATAGTCTGACTGAAATGGACTGTATAATGCAAAAAAAAATCCCAAAACTATAAATATTTTGAACAGGCATTATAAATAAAAAAAAATTACAAGTCAGTTAGAAGAAGCTGAAAGGATGTCAGAGTGTAAGAACAGACTTGTTCTTACATGAACCGTGTAACATGAAATCTATGGTCCCAGACTTCTAATGAACACAGAATTTACTGGTTTTTGCTGCTACATTGTTGTGTTTAACACTGATTAGGCAGGTAGAAGGTCAGTGGATGAAAAGTATATCATGCTCCCCCTACATGAAATTATGAATGTTTCCATTGAACCAATAAAGATATTAGAAAACCAATGACACAAACAATAGTATTTTGTCCATGACTTAGGGTATATATGTTTAAGGGTATTTTGTTAAACAAACAATTTGTATTTAGGTTTTCATTGACTTTATCATTGATCTACAATGACTAATCAGAAAATATTTTTTAAAAAGTCATTCAAAGCCTGAGGCATGATATCATATAGACTTTTACCAATGCAATAATGCTGACTGTGTCACTTTACTCTTTTCAGAACAAATTATATTAAGATGGCAGACTTACCCTCTGTGTTGGAAATGGGAGTGCTGTCACATTTACTTTCACACTGCTGCATTGATGGAGGTCTGAGGGTTTCTGGACACTCACTGGATGCTTGTCCAGTATATGAGAGGCACTGTACTGTTCTCATCTGTTGCCCAAGACCACACTGTGCAGAACACTAAAGAAGGAGGAAGACAATTTAAAACCCTACATCCAATATTTAAATATAAAATAAAGCAACTTGAAGAAATCAGAAACACTTCACATCCACAAATTTTAAAGACAGGAATCTGAAGATGTTTGATTAATAGAGAAAATAATTGCCATAAAATATGCCAGAAGTTTTTGTAATACATGTGAGTACTTGTCTTTCAATGAAAAGAAAATGCAATGCAATATTGACTCCCTGAACAGTTCAGATTCGAGATATAATAATAAAATTTACTCTATTTCATATATCATGCTGACACTTTAGAATAAAGAAGAAAAAAACAAAGAAAACAACAACTCAAATCTGCTAGAGGACTTTTTTTAAGGGAAAAGTAAACATCTTTCAAACAAATAGACTTTGTTGTTTCAAAACATTTTAAATTTCTGGAACTAAATAGTTACAATTTTAGTACCATATTAGTTAAATATAAAAGTGGTTCTGAAGAACTACCGTGAAGAAAAGCCAACCAGACTGTAATATTGCAGATTTTCCACTGGTTAATAAAACAAAAATGTTTCACTTTCATTAGAGGAAAATTTCTCAGCAAACAGAAAAAAAATCATTCATTTAATATTCTAAAAGCAGGCCATTGATCACTAATGAGATGCAAAAACATAAAGAAAGAAGGAAATTTAGTAAATCATATTTAGAAGCACCGCATAATGGCAGCATTATTCAGCCTGTTCTGGAGTAATTTAGCTCTCTGTATAGAAACTCAATGTATCTTATATAAAAAATTATACTGATCTCAAAGTATGTTTTTTTCAGAGACAGATATATATGCAGATCTTCTACAACAGTAGGCTTTATATTTCCATCATGTTTCTCAAGGAAGAGTGTTTTAAAAACAGTACACCTTGCAACACTGTTTTATCTCAAAAAACTCTTTAAAAAAGTAAAGATACTTTTTTCTTTAAAGTGCATGTAGAAACTCACCCAGTAGAAACTAGGTGACTCTCAGACAACCATCATAAACAATCACACTTCAATCTGACACAAAAGGGGAGAATCTTTTTGTTTCCCTCAGCCATAGGAACCATCTCTCGTCTATCTCCAGGGACACCTATAGTCCAAGAGACGCTAATGTTGGAGACTAACAGTAATGAAGACTTGCATGAACTCTCTCACCTGTCCCCAGTCTCCAGCAACCCAGCGAGGAGGAGGACATCGGCCCAAGCTACAGCGGATGCGTGCTGGTGGCTTGTTTTCATCTTGGCATTGCGCAGCTGGAAAGGTTTTTAAAAGATCACTGCTTTTGCACAGAACAATTCGGTGCTTGAATCCTGGGCCACACTTTGGTGTGCACTGAAAAAAAAAAAAAAGTTTATGTAAATAAATAATTAAAATATCAGTAAAGCACCAATAAAACTTTCAGAACTGTGATTTGTAATGCAGGACAATATATTTATGATCTTACAATTCCACTATAATCATAGTACAGTAATAATAATTTTAAAATGTTTAGAAACACCAACAAGCTGACAGAATATTGTTTTATTACGTGCAAGCTTTTCTAAGTTTTAGATTTCCTTTGCTTTTTATATTTAGACTACAGTGTTGCTATTTATGTCAGGTTTAGGAAAAACACTGCTGCAAAGTAGAAAGGTCTGCCACATGTAACACTATTATGAAACAAATTTGAGTGTTTCAATAATGAAAAATAAGATTCCCTGTTCTCAATATCACCTTTACGGTCTTTATCCACTCCACTTTATCCACAATGAACACATTTTCCCTCAATATATGAAAGGAAAGATAAATGCTGTATTAGACTTCATAGAAACCACATCATTCAGATATATCAAAACATGGTACCCTCTCCTACAGTGCATGCTCTCCTCTCCTTTCCTATTTAAATTTTAAATCTGATTTCACAGTTTTCCCTCCTTTTATTACTCTTGTGCTATGCTGACAGCAAGCAGACAATAAAACAGCAACTTAAAAAGAAGCAGGTCTGATGACCCCTCCTTTGCCTCATCTTCCTTCACTATGGTGTCACTGCTATTTCGTTTCCTTTTTGCTACTGACCATTAACTGTCATACACAGTAGCTCAACTGCAGAATGACAGAGACAAGTGCTAACAAAATTAAAACTCAAGACTTTTCCCAAATCAGTCCCTTTTTAACATGAGATATTGTAAGCACAGTTTTAGAATCCTTTATTGCATGTTAACCTTTATTCCATAAGCATATCTGCAGTAATTGGATCAGAATCAGTTGCTGACAGCATAGACCTTACATGCAGATTATGCTAACCTGTTCAAGACTGGAACTGCCTTTAATCTGTAAAGACAAAACATTATTTGGGAAACAACATTATGTGGAACTGGAGCAATATTCAAGAGATCACATACCAAAGGCTTTCCACACATCCAAAACAATTCACTATATCACTGGGGAAAAAAGAAACATCCCTAAGATTAATTTTCAAAAAAATTACTTGAGTGATGCAAACTTAATTTTTTTTATGCCAAATCTTGAAGTATCTCTGAGTAATTGATAGAAATTCTACAACAGTTCCACAGTATTATGTAAGGGTATAGCCTATGAATATATAAAACTTTATATCTATACCTACCTCAAAATCTCCAGAGGGAGGCACCTAAACTAGTCTAGATAGAATGAAGTGGTTTATTCTAAATGTTATCTCCATTTGGTTTTAGAATCTTAAACCGGGCTGCATAAAGATGAGTCTTGCATTTGGAGTTTATAATCCAGAATGCAAAATGGATATATAATCACTTTTCTTAAAATGTAACCTTTTCTTTTCTACCCTATTCAATCTTTTTCTACCAAGGTACAGCCTCTTTACACAGTACGAACTTTACGGAACACAGTAGTTCTGTATTCAGAATTTTGATATGGAATAAACAGTTTCAAACATCCTTATACTGAAGGTACTCCAACTCCATTTCTTGTGCACACTGCCTATAGAAAACTAGATGAAGGAGGGAAGAGATCATCTCTGGTAGAACTACACAAATAATACTAATAAGAAATAGAGATCAAAACCCGATGACAGTTAATATATGAGGTTTTTGATGTCATGATCACAACCGATCACTTGGGGTCCAAATTCCAACGAATGTTATGAGTACTTTCTCCCACATGCATTTCATGCAAAATACATGACTTTTTAAGCAGGAAGTAGAAGAATGTGCCCCTTCCCAGTGCTTCCTTGGGTGCTTAAAAATCACATCAGTCTGTCAAAGGAAACAGGAAAGTGACAGTTTTGAAAGGACTGCATCAAAATGTCAAATCCCAACTGGCCTGTGAGGTTTCATAATCTATAGAGTATGTTAGCAAACAAGCAACACTCCAAGAAATAAACTTTGAATTTAGGAGCATCTTCCTTCTAGTACTGCTTGAAGACACAATCTTTAATCCATGTGAAAGATGCCATCAGAGAAAGGTCTTCCAGCTACTGGTACCAGAAGAAAACAACTCTCCCTTTTGGGAGCTATAGCTCTGTTCTACTAAGCAGTGGTTTCCAGAAATGGAAGTGAAAGAAGGAAATATATTGCCTTCAATAGTACTTAATCACTAAAAATAAAAGACACCAGTAAAATTTAACAAAGAGATTGTAAATTTCCAAAGAAAACAGAAAGAAAATATCCAGATAAACCAAATGAGGAAAAATTATCTTCCATTACTAAATGCTTCTAGAATTTCTGACTGCTTGTGTGGAAGTCATGAAGGCAAGTTATATGTGTTTGTCTGATAAAACACTTCCCAATAAATCCTTAGAATATTTTTTTCTGCTTTTTTAATAATTATCCTGAAAAATATAAAATGAGTCATTTAGAGTGGGTAGGTTAAATCTCTCAAAGCTCAACTATCACAAAGTGTGAAAAACCTTATGGCATTACCTAAGGATGACTACATTCCAATGGAAAAGACATTCTCAGTTTTTAATTTGATAAGAATCATGTTTACATTCTCCTAAGGACTATATCTAACCAGTATATTTACAAAATGTTTTTGTTTCTCTGGCCAAAAAGATATATAATTTCTTGTTAATAATCACTGAAAATTTCAAAATTGTGCAATTACATGGATTGTCAACAAGTGCATAAGCAGATAAAACAGTTCTATAATTGTTTTATTTGTATTATGCATTGTTTTGAGTATGAAAAGAGAACTTCATAACTCGCATTCCAGAGAAAATCAGCAAGGTTTGCCATTGGTTTCAATGGAAGGAATATTCAACTCTTCATTTTTTAAGCTCACTCTTGTTTTCCCTTTCATGTTTTTGTCCAAAATTCATATAAACACACATATAAAAATGTTTAATATAGGGATTTTAATATATTATATTATATTTTTGAAAACCATGAACAGAATAAAAAAATCAACTTTTCTCATTATATTAAAATGCTATCATCAGTCAAAACAGTCTGCCAAGCTACAGAAACAAAATTCATACTAGAAAGAAGCATGGTACTTTTTCACAATCCTGATTAATTATCACAACCAGAAGTTGATAGCAGTTTGAATCTTTAAGTAAGAATGACTTTGTTCAAAATCATTACATGATCTTGTTGCATAAAAGGCTGGACATGATAAGAGAGTGTAAAATTACTTTAGGTAACCGGTATGTGATACCTGTGGGAGAGAAGGAGCTAATTTAGGGGACAGTGACACACTGTAGATTACAGGCATTTCTAAAGCGGCAGGAAACAAAACAATGAAGCACAGATGAAACCTCCTCTTGGAAATTTTCTTATTAATCCTTTACTTAGCAAGCCCTGACAGAAACAGCAAAATAACATGGCAAAATCTCCTTACCTCTGACCAGTCCAGCGCAACCCACTGTGGGGGGCAGGACTGATTGTTGCAGGGCTCTTTTTCGATCGGCCGGTGTGTTAAACAGTTGGCAGCATCCAGGGTCTCCTCCTCAGAAGGTCCAATCTTTCTGATGCAGAGAACTGTTCGTGAACGCATTCCTCCATCACAGGTCTTACTGCACTCCGACCAATCTCCTATAAACCATCTGGATAGAAAACGTTAGGCGACTCGGTCAATACATTTCAGAAACAGAGCTGATAATTGCACAAACCAAGAATGCAAATAGTTTAAATCACTAAACCTAAGTAATTTTTAACAATACAAACATTCATGGTGAAATAAAGTAGAAATTTATGGGTCTTTTTACAAAATATTTTAATTTATGCCTCACTGCAATCATATCTTCCAATAATAACACTACCTTGTATTTTTCTAGAGCAGCAGGTTCCATTCTAGCCTATAGTAGTCAGAAAGGAGTGTTTGAGCATGACAAAACTGAAGCTATTTATGTAGGTTTGTATTGGACTTGCCTGAAAAAATTTCTGTGAAAGTGGTTTGCAATTGGAAATGTTTGGGAACCATTGCTGTAAGTTACAAGTCAAAAAGCCAAGATGTCTGCCTCTTTAGTATCATTACAATAAAATAATTCAATGTCAAAATTGGGCTTTCTGAGAGTTAATTCTCATCTGATTATGAAACATTTGTAAACTTTTCAATAAAAGGCGATACTGAAATGTACAATATTCTCATTTTTTAAGCAAACACTAGTAAGACAAGAATTCATCTCATGACAACTATCATCTCAAGAGACTCTTTTAAAATTTAAAGAATCATATGACAGGTGGTAGAGGGAACTTCTGAGTGCTTCTGCATACATAGTGGAAACCAAGAATATTAGATTGCTTTGTGCTGCTGCAGAGATTAAAGCAGCTATTAATCCCGCTGTAATGTTACCTATTTCTACTTATGAAATGCAGCTCAATTAAACAGAAATATCTCATAATATTGACAAGCACATTTTGTCTTCAAAAATGTTAATTAGACACTCGCCTGAGTCATCCTTGCAAAGGATGAAACTGAAGTCTAGTATGCTATCACATGTTGCCAACATGCCAAAAATGCCAGGCATGTCAGTCACTGGATGGTTCTGGAGGTATGCCTGAAGCTGCTTCATAAAATCTGTCATTTTATCAAGCTGTTGTCAAAAAAAAAAAAAAGTGCTGCTATCCTTTTTTGTGTTACATTATGTGTAATGTATCCTGACATGAAACTAGATCAATGCAGAGATGGAAAACATTATGCTATATTCTGTCCTTACTGTCCCAGCAAAAGGAAATTAATTTGTGATTCTTCATCAAAACATCTTATGCTTTTTCCACAACAGGGAGAATCTGAAGCTCTTCAGAGCTTTCAAGAGGCTATAGTGTTAATTTTTAATTGGTACTATGATTTGCTCAAGTGACTTTGCTCTCAGGTACCTTTAATATTGATACTGTATGACAAGACAGCACTATTCATAATTCATAGAACTGTAAGGGCATTTTCTTGGAATCTGAAATGTAGGAGTTACTTACTGTAATAACAAATACCATATTGAAAATAAACACAGTCTTTTGCTGTTCAAAGACATCGAGTATAATGTAATCAGCATTCAGTCAGAAAGAGCAGCATTTTCACTGCTTTTGGTATACACCACGAGAAGAGCAGAATTGTGCTAATTAAAGAGATTTGGCCAGTCCATGTAAACACTAAGTCTTACCACATGATAAAACTTTCTGCCAAAACGGTCAAACTTCTTCAGATAATTATCTGTTATTTGAACAGCCTTCTACTAGACTACTCACAGAACCAGGAACTGAGAACCTTTTCTTAGTTTGGCACTTTGAATTCATTTGGGGAACATCAGAATAGAGGCAGACATAGCTCGAACTGCTCTGACATGTTGAAGTAGATGCCAATTAATACATTCTACCCATTTTCGGAATATTGATGACTTTCACCATGTCCATCAAAATCCCTGTTGTAGTGGATGGGCAATCCAAAAGCTTCCCACTCTGTGGACTGGGTTTCATTGGTTTGTGGAGTTTTTTTAAGTAGTGTCAGTGAAAAAAAAAACTAAACAAAAAACCAAACCAAACCAAACCACAAAAAGACCCCCAAAATTTAACTAGTTTGGAATAACTTTGTTAACATTGCTTTTTAAAATGCAAATTTGCTAATAGCTAAGCCACACGAAGGGATTGGAATGTGTTCAGTAAAAAGGAACTGATCGAACTTTTCAAGGCTCTTCAAGTCCTGCTTTCAGGTCTCAGGTACATGGTTGGTGCACTTATAGCCATGCCAAAGTGTTATCCAGAGGACAAAGGCATATCCTTCCAGGATAAACATACATTTACACATAGACTGTGGGACAATGATTGCGACCTAATTTAGGCTTGCCCATGACACAGCTCGTTCACAGCAGTGCAATGGCTTTACATGGTTTTATGCCAAATGAGTGTGTTACATGGCACAGCAGGATGAAGTGTAAGAGACACTGCGCTCTCAGGCACCACACCGGGGAAGCAGCTAACACTCCAGGACGAGACTGACTTCAGTTGGAAGCTCATTGACCTGCTGGGATTTTAACTCAGAATAATCTTGTCTAATTCCTCACAGTCTCCTTCATCCTACAATTTAGCAGTTTCTAAGAGACATTTGACAGGTGACCAGAGTATTGTGCAGTATCTGCATTTAATCAGCATTAAGGATTTTCATACCCAGTTGGAATACAGCTACAGATTATCATCTAGTAAACTAGAGCTTCAGAATCATTAATCTGTTGTATCTGTTCCACCTTTTCCACAAGTTTTATTTGCCTCAAAACATAAGAAAAGCTGTTCACATGCTGATATTATTATCTAGTACAAAATACCACAACCATTCCCAAACAGGTTTTGTAGTAAGATTAAGCTATGCTACATGTCCTTGCCAAACTTCATTTTTGATCAAATGAGCTGCTGGGTTTTTAATTATCAATATATATCATACAGCTATCCTTAAAAATATATCTAAACAGAATCTAAGCACCTAATCCTAGAGGCATACAGCATTAATGTATGACACTGAATGTGCTGGAGAAAAGGTTTTACAAAACTTATCAGGAAAATTAAAAAAAAAAAATTTAAAAAAATTATCAGGAGATGGTTTGGTCTGCTTAGAAGTTTCTATATTTGCCACTTCTCATGTGAACACTTCAATACAAATGTTAATATAACATACTCTAAAATATGGCAAATGTTTCAGATTCAATATTAATAACTAGGGTAAAGTTAATCTCATCTAAACATTCTTTTATCATTATTGCCCTAAGAATGGTCCCTAGTTCAACTCTGTGCACTATTCACTGCATATGACACTCAGATCCTAAGAAACTGCTTTGCTAGTACCTTTTCATTTACAGTGTTTGGTGTAGTTCAAACATCACTATTGTTCCTCTGTCAAATCACAGCTCCTCATTGCATTTTGCAGAGCTGATTTTAGAGAAACAAGAAACTAAAAACCAAGCCCAAATACCATTTCTGAAAAGACAGGACATGAATACTAGATGAGAATTTTATATACATTTAGTTAACAGGATTTATTATAGATTGTGAAGAACTTTTCTTTCTGAGCAAAACAGATGTCCATCTTAAAGTGATTAATGACTTACTCAGGTGGGCAAGGCTCAGTGTTGCAGGCTCTTTGGTTTTCTGGAGGCTTACTGTCAGGGTCACAGTAATTGTTTTGTACAATGGAGCTGTCATCCAGCCTTTTACACACCACCTCCTGTTTCTGGACACCTTGGAGTGAAATGAAAGACTGTTAATTAATCATTCTTGCTCTTCTACTTTTTGAGTGTAACTGTATTTCAGCTATTGATTACCAATTCTACCATCCCACTTTACTTGGTCAAAGTCTACAGCAGTGAGAATTTAAATTCACTGAATGCTCCCTAGCCACAATAATTTTTTTATTTTTCTTCCGTTTTAGGCTACCCCACTCAGAGAGGGATTTAAGCTTCTGTTGTTTTTTAAAACAAAGGGAATATATTTATAGATTTACTAGAAGTTTGTTTTTATTTATATATTGCACAAAGTTCATTCTTTGTCTGCCATCCCCTCTCCTAGTAAAGTCACTTAAATTTTCAAGGAAAACATTACCAAGTAGAATGTGGTCACACTTCAATGAAGAATTGTTTATGTGCTCTGGTTTAAAACAAACCAGCAATACTGGGAAACAGTGTTGCATTTTCATACATTATCTTACAAAGTTTTTTCAATAAAATAATAGAACTGTAATTCATTCTGAAAGAGGCAGTTTGTCTCTGAATACTCATTTTGCCTGGCACTTCCAGCTCCTCCTTTATTGTTAGCCATCAACAGGGTAATTTAGAATTGATCATTATTCCCAAAATGTGATATATCACTGCCAAGACAACATTATAAGGTAATTTATTAAGCATATTTTCTGGATTTTTTATAAAAAAAGTAGTAAAGAACCACTGATATGATGACAGTGTATTGCTGCAAGAGTAATACACACTGCCTTCTTCCTCTCTTAAAAACATACTGTAAAATGTTAGCATTAAAAATAAAATGTGTATTTGCAATTCACAAACAGTTTTTATTGTACATAATATGCATAATATGTGCAGTTATAAAACTGAAATAATGTGATTATTTGTATTATAAAAGCTTCAAAAAGTCCCATACCTTCCTTCAAAAGAGAAGCAATTATTTAACTTATTCCAAAATGTGATATGCATACAATTAAACGAGGGTTAAAACCTCCTGGCTTCAAATATCTGCCAGCTTTACCTTACAGCCATCTCTTCATTTTAAGACATGCAGAGAATCACAGAATTATTTGGTTAGAAGGGACTTTAAAGATCGGAGTTCCAAAACCCTGGCTGTGGGCAGGGGCCCGACCATCAGACCAGAGCTTCATCCAGCCTGGCCTTGAACACTACCAGGACTGGGGCATTCACAACTTCACTGGGTAACTTGTTCCTGTGCCTCACCAACTTAACAGTAAAGAATTCTTTCCTAAATAATATCTAATCTAAACCTGCTTTCTTTCAGTTTGAAATCATTCCCACTTGTCCCGTCACAACATGCTCTTTAAAAAAAGTTCCTCTTCATCTATTTTGTAGGTTTCCTTTGGATACTGGATGCCTGCATTTAGGGTCACACCTAAGCTATCTCTTTTCCAGGCTGAACAAACCCAATTCTCTCAGCTTCCCTCGTAGGAGGAAATAATATACTCCTTTGGCTCTTGGAAAATAAGTGAAAGATCTAAATATATGAGAAGCTGTGACAAGATACATTTAGAATTCTATAATCAATGCAAAAACTGCTACCAGATGACAGTAATTTGAATCAGACCTGGCAACCTAAGTAGGAATATTTATAGCAATTTTCTGCTCACATTTCACCATGATAAGAAATAATATTTAACAGCTCTAGACAAACAACAATGCTGTGTTACCTGATACACAATTCATGTTCAGTTCTGACTAATCATTTATCATTTCTATCACAAATTGCCTTAATTCTCTTGATTGAAGAGGCTGAATGTGGCCTCAAAATGATATTTTCCTCAAATATATTTGGTTAAAAATATTTTATACATACTTTAGAATTAAGCATTCTAATAATGCATACCATTCTCACAAATGTACTTATCAGATAGCATTGATAATAATGTTATATTTTTACTGAATTTCCTATTGGCATCAAATACATCTCCTTCTAGAATTTGGTTAAAAATTGGCACTTCTAACAAATTCATTTTTGAGGAATTCTGTAGTAAGAAAATATTCTGAAGTTTTATGATCACAAAGTATCACTGTGCTCAGCTTCAAAAACGGTTTTCAAGTGTGTTATTTACTGAATGTTGTTCAGGTAGTAAATCACCTGTAAGACAGTGCTCAACCTAATCACTTACAGTGAAGAATCTTTAATTGATGCCAGGAGATACATTAATCCATTTTTTTAAAGTTCTGCAGCATCTTGTCACACAGTATATAAACTGCATATAATTGCTGTCTAATTATAATGTTACTTAATAAAAAATCTCAAAGAAAGAAAAAAACAGATAATAACTTTCAAGAAAAGAAAAAGAAATGGAAAAAGATAGCAGTGCTGCTTTTATCCAGACAACAGCTACAACTTGGTTATGCCCTGTATTGAAAAGGAATTTTTAAATTATGAAGTCTTCCCTGAGTATATGGTCTCTTTTAAAAGTAATCTAAAAAAACACAGATAAACATGTTCATTTAAACTCTGGGGGGAATAATTACAAGAACTTAGACAGAAACATTCTGCTTTCAAATCTATAGATTTTTAGTTTATAATAAAAGACATAAATATACTCATGACTGGTCAATGCAATCCTAATAGAAAACAAAAGTGGTTTAGTGACCATGATCTCCAGAGAACTGAAATGCTTTGCAGATTTCAATTCACAAATAATCTGTATGACTTTCAGCAGCCAAATTTTAAATTACATGGAGCACATTTTATTCTTGAATTTAAATTGCAGGCATGTAAATGCTGTATCTATTTTTAAAAGCAATCCCAAAAACTGTGGCTTGTGATTGCAACAGTTAATTATAAAGATGCCAGGACCAATGCATAGTGATTCTTGCATCACTAAGACTAGTGCATGCTGGTTAATCCAGACATACTTTCTGAGCTCACTCATCAGATCACAAGATGTTCATCTCAGAGCCAAACTTACATTTTCTTTGATGAGGAAAAGTATATTTTATTTGCCTAAAGACAGCTTCATAATTCATCTGAGGGCATGAAAGAAAAATATAGTAGGCATCACTCTACTTGGATTATGAGCAGCAAAGAAAACTGAACAGTAATCAATTTACTTATGATAATCATAGTATTTCATAAAATTATTTTATAAAAACCCCCATGAATATCTAAGACATTTAATCTGTTCATTTGGAGATGAACTGTAATAGAATGAATGAACTCCTAACCAACTCTTAGAATTACTGGCAAATTCCACATAATAAATGCTGTCATTTGTTGCCATAATTAAGCATGAAAGAAATTTAAAAGGCAGAAGGCAGTTATTTGAGTTATTTTTAAATGCATAAAATATTAAAAAAAACATGAAGAAGGACTTACTTCCTTTGCTGTATTTTTTTAAACAATACCACCAGAAGCTCACTGCTTTATTAAGAAGACTGGTGGATCTGAACAGAGTAATACACTTTCTCTTGGAAAGTTACAAGATATAAGGAAAGACATGCCCAAGAGTTAATAAAATATAATCCTGTGATCTGCAAGTGGTACAACTTCCCTTTCACTTTTCAGAATTTATTGTATTGTTTCATTTCTTATTTCTATTTATCTTACTTTTCATTTTCTCTGTTTCTCAATAAATAATATTCAGATCCTTAAAGAGAATCTTCTGTTGTTACCATTAATCTTTTTCTAATTTCCATGTGTTCTCTCCTTTCCCACTGCTCTCTCTATAGATAACTTAGGACTGTACATTCCAGTATTCTATGGCATTGCTTTCACATAGTCTTGTCCAAGTTTGCCACTGGCTATAAAGACCTACCTATATGAGATAACAGCAAACTTTCCTTCTGAAAAACCTTGCCTCAGAATAGAAGAGTTATTAGTGTATTTTCAGGAAAAAAGGAAATTAATATGAAGCATACATGTAGATCAGCTTTACATAATATTCCCAGAAAAAAAGGACTAGCTCAGATACTATAAATTTGTATCATAAAGGAAAATTTTCTAATACAGAAAACATAGGTTCTAGTGTACAAAAAGAAGAGCTGCAATTCTGGATCCCCAGGACTAAGAAAAATGCTGATATTAAAAATCAATTAAATTATATTCTTATCCTACATATGAGCATAGGAATCCTAGATAAATAAGACCTGCCTACCATCAGAAAAGCCTTTTTTACTGTTAAATCTGAAGAACTACTTTTTTGGAAAAAAAATTGAAAATATCAACACCTCAGACTTCAGAGATTTGGCTTCTTCTTCTTCTTGATTCCCTGTACAGTGAACATTAAGGTCAGTGGCAGAAAAACTATGTGCACTTTTCCCCTTTAACATAACTGACACTACAAAATACACAGTTTACAATCTCTCACAGAGTGTGTCAGGTTGGAAGGAACTGCAGTGGGTTATCTGGCTCAAACTCCCTGGTCAAGCAGAGTCATCCTGGAACACATGGCACAGGATTGTGTCCAGACGCTTCTTGAATATCTGCAGTGAGGGAGAACACACAACCTCTCCAGGCAACTTGTTCCAGTGCACGGTCACCTGCACAATAAAGTTCTTCCTCAACTCCAAGTGGAACTCCTTGTGCATGAGTCTATGCCTTTTGTTCCATTGCTTCTTGTCCCACTGATTGGCACCACTGAGAACAGCCTGGATCCATCCTTTTGGCAGCATCCTTCAGGAGCTCCGTGTTCCATCTCTCTTGTCCTGAGGAGTCCAGAACCGGACACAACACCCCAGATGAGGCCTCACCTGGGATGAGTACCAGGGCAGGATCATTTTCCATGACCTGCTGGCAATGCTCTTCCTAATGCTCCCCAGGATCCCACTGGCCTTCTTGGCCACCAGGGCATGCTGCTGGCCCATGGACAGCTTGCTGTCCACCAGGACCTCCAGGTCCTTGTCCACAGAGCTGCTCCCCAGCAGCTCTGAGCATCAGCTCAAGTCTCTGATGGTGCCTGGGATTGTTCCTTCCCAGGTGCAGGACCCTTCATTTGCCTTTGCTGAACTTCAGATGGCTGTTCTTTGTCCATCTCTCCAACACACTGGGATCCTTTTGAAGGGCTGCACAGCACTCTGGGGTATCAGCCACTGCTCCCAGCTCTGAGTCCTCAATGAAATTGCTGAGGAGGCATCCGCCCCTCAAGTCATTGATGAATAAGTTAAATAAAACTGGGCCCAGTGTTGAACTTGGGGTAACACCACCAGTGCTAGGCTTCTAACTAAACCCTCTGCCACCTATGATGAATCTCTGGGATCTGCCATCCACCTCATTGGCTGTTCATCCAGTCTACACCTCCTGATTTTGCCTATGAGAATGTTGTGAAAGGGCACTGAAAGCCTTGCTGATGCTGATCCCCTCTGACAGCTGACTGCTGTCCCCTCATCCATCTGTTTCACTGTAGAAGGCAATCAAACACCTGATTACCTTTAGTGAAGCCATGCTGACTATTCCTGATCACCTTCTTGTCTTCCATAAGGACATAGATGGCCTCCAAAATTAGATGCTCCATCACCTTCCCAGGGATTCTGGAACATAGTTCCCTGGGTCCTATTTCTTGCCCTTTTTGAAAACTGGGGTGACATTTCCTTTCTTCCAGTCCTCAGCATCCCTCCTGATCATCATGATCGTTCAAAGGTGATCATGAGCAGTCTTGTTATGGCTCTCTCATCACTAGTGGATGTACCAGCCCTCTCATCACTAGTGGAGCCCTCCCATCAGGGTCCATGGATTTGCGTAGGTCTGTCTAGTTGTTTCAGACCAAACCCTCCTTCACAAAAGAAACATCTTCCTTCCAACATTCCTTCACCCTGATCCTCAGTCAGGGATCCCTGAGGCCTGGTCTTGTCAGCAAGGACTGATGTCCCGTCTCCATTTAAAAATGAGCCCATATTATCCTTTTTTTTTTTTTTTTTTTAATTGATGTATTTGAGAAGACTTTTTTTATTATGCTTGACATCCTTAGCCAAGTTTAAGACTAGCTGGGCACTGCTCTTCATAGTCTCTTTTGCATTTACCCTGACCACCTCTCTATATTCACTTCAGGTGGCCTGACCCTGTTTTGATCTCCTGTGTATTTCCTGCTTTTATATTCCAACATTTATACTTGAATCATGACAGTAGCCTTGATTCATCCATCCACAGAGGTCTCTTGCCCCATTGGCCCAATTTCTTTCTCATTGTGATACATCGTTCCTGAGCCTGGAGTAAATGATCCTTGAATATCAATCCACCCTACTGGATGCCTCTGCCCTGCAGGGCCTGTTCACACAGGATTCCTCCAAAAAGATCCCTAATGAGGCTAAAGTTAGCTCTCCTAAATTCCACGGTAATAATCTTTCTTGCTGTCCCAGTACCTCTTACTTCAACACAGAACTCTACAATCTCATGGTCACTGCAGCCAAGACTGCTTCTCATATAAGACATTGTTCTGCATTTTAAAAGCAATCTAAACGTGTTTCTTTCATGAGCTCTAACTTACCTCCTAGATCTTTCTATTGAGAACACAGGGGGACAGGAGGTACAATGTCTACTGTGAAAAGCCCATTGATTTCAGGTGCCTAGATGAGTTTTCACATGAGACGATTAAATTCCTTGAATGCTTCAGAGGTCAGAAATTCCAGAGGGCCACTCATACAATAATCAACTCATAATTAGCAAGTAATTAAAAAACATATATGAGTTTCTCAGTACCGTGAGAAAGACACAGAGGAGACAGGAACAGAATCCAGAGCTCTGGCATTGTATTGAACAGTCATAAATAAGAAACCTTTCTTCTCCTTCCTATGATTCCACTTACTGTGCTCTTCCTAGTCTTCGAAGTCAAGACAGGCCCTAGAAGAGAGGTCCTATTTGAAAAGTTCAAGCGTTTTACTGTTCTGATATGACTTCTCAGCACAGCAGAGATGAACACAGTATAGAGGTCCAGTGGAAAAGACAGCACATTACTATTCAGTCAAAGACTGTAGGTTTCTCCCAGCTTGCTCTAAACTTGTTCCTTGACTGTTCTAGTCACTCCTCTCCAACATAAGGCATACTAGCAGGTCTAGGAAGAGCTGAATGCAGTGGATTGCTCTCAAAACATTATGAAGAAGAAACAGCACAAAAATCAGACACTTTTGCTATATACAACACTCCAGAACTATTTAAACTCTGCAGTGTCACATTGTCTTTATGCTCTGCTTCATGACATTCAACACATATGCTTAAGTTCACTTTGGTTACTACATCAAGTGATGCCCATGTTTTAGGAGTCAATAAGCAATTAAGAAATGCTTAAGTCCCTCAGTCATTAAGCAATACAGATACAGATAAACTGATTTAGAAAGAACTAGACTTAAGCAGTGTTGAGTGGACATAAGGTAGTGTGTTAAAATGGTCCCTGGTCAATTAGTCTCTATTTAATAGAATATTTTTATTTGCTATATTCTCCAGTTAAAGTCTTTCTCTTCAAGCTATGTCTCCCTTTTTTTTTTTTCCTGACTCAACTCCTCTTTAGAATAGTGTCTTCTTTTGGCATATGGTGAAAGGTGTTTCATAAACTGTGAGAAATATCAGGTTCTCTTGTGGAGAAAGCAGATACATGTTTTAACATGAATTATAGCTACAGTGAAATGTATGTTTATGAGTACAGTGCTCAACGAAAGTAAGTGACCACAATACATCCTTTTATTAAGCTGAAAAAAAGGACAGAAAATGCCTTGGTCAGCCACCATAAGCTACCAGAGAAAATCTCTCATCCACCTCCTCTAAGTTTAAATTAATAAATATATGCTACTTTTAGGGAGTCACAAATCTTCCCTTGAAATCTAATTAATTACATCCAAATTTTTTTAATCTCAACAAGTGCCTACTCCTTCAGAGCCAATTATTTTTTCCACTGTATTTCATCAAATGTGTGAAATGGCAATGACCTTTGTGATAGAATATCCATGGCTATTATATTATATTATACCTAAATCAATGGGATATTCCCAGGAATTCAGAAAGATTAAGAAAGATTAGCTCACTAACATCACAAAAAAAAGAGGATCTGACAATACCTTTAAGATTCTGCTAATTGGAACTTACTTTCTCTATTAAGAGCTAGGCACTACTTTATACTTTTCATTTAAAATGTTTTTTTCACTGCCACACTTACCGTTACTAAAATTGTATTTAAAAATCAATCAGTCATCCGGGAATCCAACAAATGAATAATGAAAATATTGGAGAAAGTTGGCATCCTCCTTTATTTTGTTTCAAGACTTTCTCTAGTGGCACAGAAAAGAATTTATGCTATTCTTTGTGTATTCTGTATGGCTAGGCTGTATTTAAACTGTATACAACTAGTACCAGCCACAGCAGCTTCCAGCAGAAAGGTGAGCCATGATGAATACCTCCCATAGAAAGAAAAAACAAGAAAGCAACAAGTATCTGGTCCAAAGGTTCTTTAAAAAAATATGGTGTCTTCTTCTTGATAAAGGTTGTCCACAATGCTGTAGAAACTGACATTCTGAGATGCATTTAAAGCACTCTCCCATTTCTTCTGGAACAGAGGTATGTTGGGGAGATGATTCATTCAGTCTCCAGAGAGAAGAAAGATACTGTTCACACAGCACTTCTACTCACCAGTTCTTGCAGCAGCAATGGTGTTGGCTTTGAAGGAAGCCAACTGTCCTGCTCTCCCAGCCAGAGGTAAAGAATTGCATTGGTGGCCACTAGAGGGAGGATTAGGAATATAATAAGTTGTCGGCAAAAGCCACCCATGATGAACCGCATGGGACAATCTACAAATCCCCCACTGCTGCCCAAGGGCAACAATTCTCACATACTGCTACGGGCTGGCAAGTAAAATCCAATTGTTATCTTCTACAGAGAAGCTGCCAGTGTGCATCCTAAACTTTGGTGGCTGGAGGATAGGAGGGCTGACTAGGATTGTGTGAAGCACACCTACAAATACACAAAGACACATCTCTTTATTTACAGATGCCTATTTTGCCTTCTTGTTTTTGATCGCCTTACTTTAAACTTCTGATATCCTTTATCAACAAGGCTTCTGGGAAAAACAAACATACCAGCTTCAAGAGAGTCTCAGAAGTATCAGCAGAGAGAGACACTGTGCCAAGATACACTGTATTTAACAAAAAAATCTGAACATATTAAAGGTACTTGTAAACAACAAAATCCACTGTGATTAAAGTAAATGTTCATTAAGATCTGAGGCATACCTGAAAGAAACATTTTTAATTAGTCACCTAGATGATTACACATATTTAATTTTATCTTGCAATTCAGTTTACCCTGTAGCTTGACTGTCTGCTGCCTTACCTCCTGCGCAAGTGGCAGAACATTCTGACCAAGGCAGATGATTCCATGCAAAGCCAACCTCATTGTCTCCACTGCCAGTGCGAGAGATCGGAACATTGAATTTATACTTTATCCCCAAATTCTGTTCCTGCAGCAGTATCTGTAGTTGAAAATAACTGGTTATACCATTAAAGCAGGCAAGCAGACGGCAAACACAGTGACATTTATTCAAGGCATGTGTTATGTTCTGCTAAATGGGAAAAAAGTAATAAAGGAAGTCTAAAAATAAACTATTACTATATATACAACTATATTACTATTACTATATAATAACTATATTACTATATACTATTACTAAAAATAATTATTTTTAGATATTTCCCAACATAATATTTTAAAACATGTACAAAAGAAAAATATTATTGTCCAAGGTGAGCTTTATCCTTTTTTTCTCCCTTAACTCAACTTTATTATTTGAGTCAGTTCCTTATTCCTGACAAAATTTCATAATTTTGCTCATTTCATGAATTTTATAAATTTTGCTAGTTTTCATAAAATTAATGTCTTCATGGAAATTAAATTGGGAGCAGAATAATTATGGGAGGTCAAAGTTGGAAAAGCACATTACTGTAAAAACATGCAGCAGTTCTAACTGAAGTCTTGTGAGGAGTACAATCCACAGAGTTTTGAACTTATCTCTTCCTTTGTTAGCACTTCTAGTGACTACAGTACAGTACATTACTTCTAGTAATAATAGTAACACCAACAAAATGTTGCTGAGGCCATTGTTTTCCCTTAATGCAATAGCCAACAGCATAAGCTTGATGGAATCACACCTGTGATTCCTTTAAAAGAATAACAAAACTTTCATTGCAGCCACATCATTACAGGCAACATAGACAAAACTGCAACCATCAGCAAGAATTTTTGTCTATCCTCACTGTTGAACTGCACTTATACAGATTACCTGTCTAACGCTAGTCTTTGATTCTCTATCAAACTTATTTTTTTCATTGCTAATAGCAAATCTTCAAGTTAGATGCAGAAATCTGACTCACCTTAGAGCTACTTTTCATCCATTTCTACTTTCTCTTATATTTTGCAGAAGCACATCTGTCTACCTCCACAAGGCAAAAGAGCAGAGGACTTTCAGAAAGTCAGTGACACAGACTGAACGAAAGAAGGCACTATAATTGTGTAACCTTTTCTGTACAGACTGTCTAGTCTATGCACAGTTACAGAAGAAAAAAAGATTAATCAAGTGTTTGAAAATGCTGCCTAAAATGTGTATATCCATGCAAAAATTATTCTCTAAAAAAATATCCTATGTGGCTCAAGCAACCACTGAACTGCAAATCTGGCAGATGACAATACATTGTGAAAATATCAACTTGTTCTCATACTCCTCCTCGACACAGTAGTGAAATAGCAGGCTCATGATTACCTATTGTCACAGATGGCATCAGGATCCTGGTCATAGCTTCTGTTACATTCTCATACTTTACAAAATCTTTTGAGAGAAATGTATGTCACAGTAACATGGGAAATGCCACTTTAACATGGGAAATACCATTATACTCATTCTGTGGTAAAGGTATGTATAAATGTCACACTCAGGCCAGGCTTAAAACTACTGAAATGTGCAGAACTGTCAGGGACTGTCAAGTGTCAGCACTGTGCAGAGATATGATACATGGTCCATTCACAATTTTCACTACTATTACTGTGAACCACATTTAAAGAGATGTGATTCAGTTTCTGTGAGATTTCCTGGTGCTCTTTGGACTTTATCCCCATTTCATCACACTCTGCCAGTCAGTTTTTAAATGTAGGGAATGTGTGTTAAAACACACACAAAGTCCCAGCTACACAAACTGCGTATTGTTTGCAAACTCAACCTATTTTAATTTCATTCATGGCATTGTCTTTTCTCAGAATATAAACACATATTTCAAATTATAGAAATATATTTATTATAACTTTACCATGACTATGAGGTTTTCTGAAGTAGGGCCTAGTGCTTCCAAAGATTCTGGTTCATCTGTTGGCCTCTTGTAATGGAAAGCTGTTCCAGCAACATCAAACTTTCTTGGCCAGTCAATAGTCCAGGCACCATTAATATAGTAGTCATCCTCTTCAGATTTTAAAGCTTAAAAAAAAATACAAGCCACCTAAAAATTGGAAGCAGCATTTATAATGGAGAAGCCATTGTAAATTAAGCTACTAATCTGTTAGAAGTATGTGAGCTTCAGCTGTTCTCTCAAAACACTGTTTTCTCAAGCAATATAAAGCCTTTCCTTAAGCCCTGGTGAAAATATCCCTCATGTAAATCAATAATTTTCCCTCCACAGTAATCTTCAATCAGATGACTTTGCAGGTTTCAACAATGCAGATGCTGCATGAAATGAACCAGAATGCCTCATGCAACTTGCAAAATATCTTCAACTTTAAAATGGACTCCATGTGCAATGTATTCTGAACTACATGAGATACATGGACGTCTGAAATGTGTAATCAATTATCAACCTCATCTTTAGATTAAGAAGCTGGGGAATGGAATAAGTACCACAGATAATGTGCAGAAGAAAAAAGAGAAGGAACATTGACTCTGACATATAGTACCAGTCAGCTGACATCTTGTTGCCTATGTCCACTTCTTTTTTGCCATATTAAAGCACAAATACAAGATATTTCTACTACAAACTGAAATATTAGGTAGTTCATCTGATAAGATATTTTATCCTTCTTAATTTACAGCCCTGAAGCATGAAAGCACCAGAGATGAAACAGAAATTCCATAGCTAAACCAACCATTAGGATGGGCAAGCATATATTATTCAGGGATTTGAATTGGATATTTTATTAATAATATTACATTAAGTTCCTAAATATGAAACTGATATTGTATCTTAAAGTGAATATTCAGTTTATTAAATATTGACTTTCTAATTTAAAGTGAAGATTAACAAGTTTTACATATTTTATTTATTTATTTATAATAGATCATGTTTTTAACTGAAAAATTATGGGTGGAACCCCATAGTCAAAGAGCCTGTCATTTTCCATTGAGACAAACAACTGATTTTACTGGGTAGGGGAAAACTTCACATCATAATGCTAAGGAGTAAGACAACTTCAGTTATCTGCCATTTTACTCTCAACTACATGTGTGTGGACAGTTGGTTTACCTTAAACAGGGAAAATGCCTCAGTGATGCTTAAGTTGTGTAAAACAGATCAGAAAGCAATCATGTGAGCACGAGATAGTGAAAGAGGCAGTACTGTTCTACTGGTGACAATGATATTCAGCAGAAATTAGTAACTATTTCCTTTAGCATCATTAAGTCTGAAAGTTAACATACGTATGCTGCATATGATTAAACTAACATATATACAGAAGCAAAGCAGTTAATTTTTTATCTGACTGCCAAAGAAAAATGCATTTTCATTCTCCAGGTAAATTTACCTAATGTCAGTTGTCATGCACAGGTGAAGGCCACAATTGTGAACAGCATTCTAATAATTACACAACAATAATTATGCAATGGCATCATGCTAATAGCATATGAAACAAAAAGAACAAATTCATGTTCATAATCAAACCATTTATGAGAACCTGAAATGCAGGAAGCCCACAGAAAACTGTCATAAGAGGAATATAAAGCCAGGTGTAACCTTGGATCAAGCCATTTAAGGGAAGATAACAGCACTATTAAATATATAGATTTTTCTGCAGCTCTGAACATAGGTAGTTTTGTTGCTGCTGTGCTATCTGTTGGAGAAACCACTTAAAATATTGTGCTATTTGTGCAGCTGCAGAAATGGGCTTTTGACCAATTTTGTCACATAACTAGGAGTGATACTGGTGAAAAAAATGATCTGCCAGATCAAGGTGAGAGAGGACAGGTGCTAACTGAGATAACTGAATTGTCTAACTGCACTCAAAATTTGAGGTAATGGATTTCAAAGGAACTGCATTTTAGTTGAAGGAACTATTGGATGTTTGCTGTGAGTTAGTTTGAAAACCTTAGTTTGAATAAAGGAGCCAGTGTGACAACTACAGGGTTTTTTTCTTCGGTATGTTAGAATCACGGAATAGTTTGTATGGGAAAGGACCTTTAAAGGTCATCTAGTCCAACCCCCCAAAAGAAGCTGGGACATCTCCAACTAGAACAGGTTGACTACTACAAAACTGAGAAGGTTTAGTACACTTTCAAATAGAGAAATTAATTTCTTAGACTGTGATCACATAGTTGGCAGCACTGTAAATAAGAGAAAATATAGTAATATGTGTAAATGGTTATTTTGAGCTGAACCAGTTCTGCAATCTTGTTCATGGTGTGGCCACAGAAATAGATGTCCTGGACCATAGGAGGAACTCCATAAAGACAGAGAAGGAGCTGTGGAGTTGACACTGCCCCTAAAGCAACATGCATAAAACAGTACCCTTGGGTTATGTATTTTAACATCATAATATCATTTTAGCTACCAATTCTGCTTGACTAGTTTCTTTAAGGGAGCAGACAAATCAAAGCCTTCTTTTCCCTAGAAACTGGTTATCCTAAAACAAAGATCTGGTTCACACTCACTGAACAAAATTCCCCATTAGGTATAGTGGATAAAATGGCACTTTTGAAACTTGGAAATGTAAGAAACTAGTAAAGGAAAGGAAGACCTCATTTTGTAGTAAGAGCTCTGTGGAATGAAGCACTGTAGTGAGGAGAGAGCCTGAAAGCCCAGGAATTCCTTGAAATTGTAATAAGCATATTAAAAAAGTGTTTATGTACAACTTTACATTTTTAGATCTGTGGCCAGATTAAATATTAATGATGTTGTAGGTATTTTCTATTTAAACCAAAAAATTTACTTTTTTCATTTACTTTATTCAGATTGTGCCAATCAAAATGGTTTTCCAGATCTCTCTTCTCTGCTCTATTCTTAGAGAGGAATAACAATCAATTGTAGCAGCATCTATGTTCTGTTTTTCAACTGCCCATTAAAGACTTCTCGGCAGAAAATGATGATGACGTAGCATGAGTCGTCCCTCACACCACCTCTGCATGAAACCTCAACAGAGGATACAGAAGCAAACTAACGCGTGGTATACTTTGACATGGGGGATGGGCCTTGGGGAGAGTGATGCTGAAAGCATTCAATTGCTGATAGTGTTATTAATACTGCAGAATGGAGGGAGGTTAACTATCTGCTGAATTACAGAAGGGTGGGGGCAGGCAGAAATAAAGGTAAGCATTCAGCAGTAAAAGGTGCCATTGTTGTCAATATAATCCACTTACGAATTAATTTTCTGATGATGGTAATTGCCTTTCTGACTCACACCCACAGATATCATAATTCTTTCCTACATGTTAGTATTATTTACCAAGTACATGGACTAAAGACTGAAAGAAGTAGCCTCAACAGCTGCTTTACAGCTTAAACAGGTAATAGCTTTTGCTTGGGCTAATTTCTTAGTTTGCTGTACAAATAATCAGCTCTCTAATCTATTTCTGACTAAGAAATTTGTGTTCTTGTACCACTGTCAACTGACTGCTATGCAAACCAAGTTATGTTGACTTTCAGCAAAGCACGTTGTCTTCAGTTTGACTGAGTCAGATCTGTAAATACCAGTATTAAAAAACCAGAAAACACACTTAACAGACTCTACAGAAATTAGTAAGAATCTGGGAATCTGAATTTAATTCAATGCTTTACAGTAGGCTTCCCAAATTGTTTCAATTATCACATAGTTTTTCTGCACCTAATTTTCTTACCTACAAACCAGGAGTGATCTAGTACCTACAAAACAGCAATGCTGTGTAATTGATACATTAAATTCCTTTGAAGTAAAGAGACAGGATTGTTAGCATTTAAGTAACTATGACTGTTCATGAAATAAAACTGTATTTTAAAACAGTTTAATCCCCCAAGAGACTTTGCAGATGGAAGACACTACTTCACAGCGGAACAGGGGATTATTTGAGTTTCATTTCCTTATTACCGAGGAATAATGCTCATTTTGAGTATTATTTCCTTATCTGCTTCAGTTCAAATCTAACACTTTAAAAATAGTGAAGTTGGCATGATTTTGCACTGAATGGACAAGGAGAAAATGTGTGGGCTATTTCAATAACTACATTGAAGAGAATATACCCCAACTAACTACTAACTGTCTGATCACAAGTTAGCTGTATAAACAGCTAACTATTCCCTCTGCTACTTCTACTGTATATAAGGTTTGGACAAATCAGAAAATGTACCTTCAAATCACAATATGAACTCTGACATTTTAATAACTATCTGCTGTATAAAGAATGCCCTTACCAATGTAGTTTTTTGACATTGCCACTTCTCTTATTTCAATGTGCACAGAACCTCTTGGAATTTGAATCACTTCCATATATCCTGTAAGACAAAGATAAATTTTATTTGCTGTTTTTTACTTTCATCAGTTTTAAGTACTGAAGCTAACCATAAATGAATTACTTACAACAAAAATTAGTGTGAGATATGGGATTCAAATGTACCTGAATGTTTTATTTCATGTGATACAAAGGAAAACTCTTTAAACTTCATACAAAAATTTTTAACTTATGGCAAGAACTTGAGTATTCAGGAATTCCTTTTTTTAAGTGCTAGTAGAGTATTTTCAACAGTGTATCTTAATTAATTAACATTTACAATGTCTTTGGGATCATAGGATAATTCAAGTTTTACAGGACTTCACTCAGTCATTTAGTCCAACTTCCTGTTACAAGCAGGCACAGCTAAGAGATCAGATTGAGTTACTCAGAGCTTTATCCTGCTGGGTCATGAAAAACTTCAAAGATGCAAAATGTACAACCTTTCTGGGAAATCTGATCCACTGCTAGACTGTCCTCCTGAGGAAGTAAGTTTTTTTTCTTCCGTTTGGTTAGTCACCTTTCTTCTATCAGTTTATAGCTACTGTCTTGACTCCCACCATGTGCCCACCAGTGTGGCGAGCCTGGCTCTGTTTTCTCCATGACCTCTTCATAGTATTGAAGGATCATAAACCAGGGCATTCTCCAGGCTGAGCAAACCTAGTTCTCTCAACCTCTCCTCACAGAGAGTCAAGTGTTCCGCACCCAAATAATATTACTGGTCCCCCATTGGACAGAACTAACTGCAGTGCATTACTCCTTTTCCTGAATTATGGAGTCCAAAATCTGGTAACACTAAGTCTACAGGATTAATATTTTTTGAGCTAAGTTTAAAAATAATAGCCTATATATATTTCCTGAATTTTTAATATGATGAACTTCAGAGATTCTTCTGTATAGTTGCTATTCTAAAATTTCATGCATGACTATCAGATTCTACCATACGCAGTAAAATAATACTTAATACACCCTTAATATACCACCGTAACTAAAAAATAACAAAAAAACTTCACCAACAGAACTAAGCATTCAGTAATTAAATACATTGTTGTATTTGGGATCAATCCAAGCTAATACACAAAAAAAGGAACAAATTGGCAAAAAGAGTCAAAGTGATTGACCAGCAGCAAAGCCATGCTGGGAATTAAGGCAGCACTGGTATTTGCTAGAGTCATCTAAAAGCATTGTGCAACAGAACGGATACACATGTACGTACCTCCTCTGGGCAATGAATCATTGAAGAAACCTTCAATGGCTTCACATGTACTCCCATCTCCTCCACATACACGGCATCTATCTTCCTTAGCATCAGACCCCAAAATATTATCACAACCTACATGCTGAGAACAGATAAGAACAAATATTTTAACAGGATGATGGTAGTGCATCATTATTTCAAAAGTTTCTTTGAAGTTTTTCCCTCAAGTTTCAGATATTCAGTTCTTATTTTTAATCTACTTTATTGTTGATAACCAGTACTTTAAGTGGATTTTCACTTGACAATGAAAAGAGATAAAAAAAAGAGAAGAATTAGCATTCTGGGATGTTACCAAATCTTGATTAATAAGAACCTTGCATTTCTACTGTGACTTCTAGGAAGAGATTTCACAGTGTTTTGCATAATATAATTATTATACTTATCAATAAATGATTACTGATGTTGTTATTTGATATTACAACAGCTTCATGCCATCTATATTGTTTTTTTAAGGTAAACATTTCCTGTGTGATCCTTAAACATTTACACAGCGTAAGTAGTATTCTTAAGATGTTACAGCTTCATAGACCATATTTCCAGATGTTGCAGGAGAAACTTGCAATTTTTTAAAGTATGAATATAGACTGTAAACTACTTCACAGTAAGAACAAATGCAGAATGAAACATAGTGGAAAGCTGCATTGCATGCTGTATTATATGAAAAAAAAAAAAGAAAACAAATGAAAATAAAGACAGAATCTTTGGGAAAAGAAAAAAAAAATAGGATGAAACCAGTAGGTTGTAAACAGAATAAAGACTGCAGCTTGCCAATATTTTTCCAGGACTCAAACAAAGAAGATGGTAGCTATGTAACTGTCTAGCTGTCTTTGTTTCCTGTCTAGCACTATTATTTGCCATCTTGTAAACAGCTAATATACACATCATTAAAAAAGTTAAAATACTTTCAATAACTGACAAAATATTATAATTTTAACTATTTACAGTTCCACTTACTGATTCACTAAGATGACAGACACCCAACTTTCTTCACAGTTCATTCTCAACTTGAGATTCTTTTCACTAGTTTACTAAAACATGGCAAAACTTAGTATCTCTCTGTCATTCAATAAACATACATCTTCAGCCCCTCATTTAGCAAAGCACTTCAGGATTAAGTTAAGCTTTAGTTAGGTCAGTGATTTTGTTGAAATCAAGTAATTTTTAGAGTCACCAGTACTTTTCAAATATCTAGACCCCAGTACATAATTAAATGCTTTGCTAAACTGAGGAAGCAGTGGAATGTTAATAACCAAAAAATATGGCACAGAATCCTGATTCTACTGAAATTCTTGTAATGCAGTTATATAGGAATCTTACAAGATAATAAAATTTTTAATAAATGGCAAATAAATAATTATACATTTTTCCTAGAACCACAGGGCAATAGTGACAACTTTCTGTTTCAATTACATTAATGGCATGATTTTTTGCAACAGGATGAACTAGTTCAACAGATTAATATGTTCACATGTAGTGTTTTCCAGCCAGAACAATGTTCTAGCTGAAATGATGGAACAGGCCTTGGAAGACTGCAAGGAACCTGTTCATCTCCTGTTGCCATTGCAATCAATTCTTCAACAGAAACCATCAAACCAGAAAAAAGATAAAATGGCAGATGCTAACATCTGTGAGAAGTTACTGAAATTAAAATTATTTGTCAATTTTATGCAATATCTTTTTTAAACTTTTTGTCTCAATCTTACACTTTTATTAACAACTTGACCTGTCAACACTCCCTTTTGTGTAATATACAAGTACGATACCTAAATATATGTGACAGCAGACACAACAAGCTAATTCATAAGTACTTTATAAAACTTTTGTAACCTTGCATTCTCCATTGATACAGATATCCAGTGAATCAGCATTGCACTGAGTCCCATCTATTACTGCAGGAGCACGTTCAGTGTAAAAATTATACCCTTCAGCCAAGCAGTTTAATGCACATGGTTTAACCCCACCTGGACAACAAAATCAAATGAAAGGAAAAAAAAATTAACAGAGACCTTAAAGAGTTAAGGTTTAGTTAAAAATATTAAACAGATCTGCAATTTGCAATCTTATCTCATACCTGACATATCCAAGGTATACATTTTATTTAACCTCCCCTTAATGATTTCTCTCCTTGATTCTTCTCTTTTGCAAAAAAAGATTATTTCACACAGTAAGATATGACAAGTTGGTTGGGTCCATAATGAAGCCATTATGCTAGTACAATCCTAATGGGTATTGAACAATTTAAAACAACAAGGATATCACTTCACTATTTGAACAGCAAGAATAGTAACAGAATGTAGTGCTAGAAATATATCAAAACTAAGATCAGAAAATTTCAGTTGAGAATTCAGTCCTTTTGAATTACACTACAGCTCACACCACATGATCATGATGACCTTCCTTAGGCTTTTAATCTGAAAACCTGTTTGTAAAAACATTTAGGCTGTTAAGCTAAAATCATTGGTAAATAATTTTATTCAAGTCAGTAAAGTGTAAAAAACACAAATTATACCCTCTAGCTTTAGAATAGGAAAAAATATTAAATTATACTATAAATAATGCAATTCCTGAAGTAGTCTTCAGAGACTCCTATAAATGCTTTTACTTTTTTTCTCATTTCTTAATATATTCCTGACTTTAGGAAAGGCAAACTTATTGTGATGTTATTTAATACTAAATACTTAATACTAAACTCATCACTGTAGCATAAGAGGCAGTTGCAGATCATCTATGATGTATCTAATTCTAGTACAGGTGCAGGTGGAGAACGCCTCCATATTTTTAAAGTGGAGTCTCTACAATGATGAGGTGACTCCCTTTCCCACCAAAACAAAATATATTAGAATAAAGAAGTTTTGTTCTTCAGTATCACTTGCAGCAACTGACAAAAGTACAAGCTTAAAAATTTTAGCTCATGCTATTTTAGTCAAAACATTATATTTACAAACATTATTCTCTGTACAACATTCATATAATTTCAAAATCTTCACATATGATAATGGTTTTGCAATGCTAACCATTACCTCCAGTGTAGGGTTTCCAGTTATAATACTTTCCCCGGAAAGGCATATTGTCAAAATCCGCACATTGCTTCTCTCTAAAATCACGAGCCCCTGAAGGACATGGCTAAAAAATGACACAAAATAGTTAATTTATTCCAAATATAAACATGAAAGGAAATGCTTAGATGCTTATACTGCAAACACAATCATGCAAGTGTTTTGTCTTGTGGTTCTGACTCTGAAATTTACTTTATTACTTTACAGTTGAAGTGTCTATTTGCAATCTTAGGCTGGCATGAAATAGCTGAAGTAATTTAAAGAAAGGTAAGTGTTACATAACAGTTTCCATAAAGCTGGAAAATCAGAATCCTGTCAAACTATGCGTCATAATCAATCCATCAGCTACCTTCTTATAAACACATTAAAAACAGCTGGAAAAAAAATTTGTTCAGAGCTGTAGGTTCAATTATCCTGTACTAAGCAGCTGTACTGAGACGCATTATTAAGACATCAAGGAAGAAAAAAAGAATTTTCTAGAGAACTATATCCCTCCTGCTTACTTGTAGCCTTGACAAAAGTATTTTTTAAGGCTGAGAAAGAAAATAGATAGCATGTCTCGCTCTGATTACCAGCCTCCACGCGTCAAGAAATAAAAATATTCATTTAATATTTCATTGCTTTGCATTAACAATTACAAAACCATGAAGAAATTTTTTTTACTTGGAATGAGGGTAGATTTCAGTTGAATTAATTTTGGAAAGAATTACAGGAGAAACAGAATTCCTTGTTATTTATAACATTTTTCATCAGCAGATTCAAAATAATCTTGACTATACCCTCATCTCATTAAACATTGTTATCAATGTTTAAGTACCTGCTGAAATTAGGAGCTTCATCAGAAAATACTTAAAACACAGATTAAAATCATGTTTAGAGTGAAAGAGAAAATTATTTTTTTGATAGACATCAGAGGTGTTAATAAATATTACTACTTTATGAGCAAGACAAGAGTCCATTTTATGGCATTTTACTTGTCTTCCTGTGTACCTAAGCCAGCTAGCAGTTCCCAGGAATCTGAAATGCATTCAAGTGAAAGGGACTCTATTAACATGGATGCTAAAAATTTATCACACAATGCAAACATAAACACAAAAATTATGATTCTTATTATACATTAATATCTCATGATAGCCAGCCTATTGCCACATGATTCAGGAGCTTTAAATTTTTTTTTCCTGCTATTCTGAAGCAATATAAATTAAAACAGTGGACATTAGACAGTATTTACATTTTTAATTTTCTCTATTACTCTATTACCTCCTTCTAATTAAAAATACAGTTTTAAATACAATGCATTAACTGGTAAGAACAGAGTAGTGCAACTACTTGTATTCAATAATCCTTCACATGATAAAAATAAGAATTCCAATAACTATGTAAGTTTTTTAAAAACTTAATTTTAGTGAGCTTTTAATAGTAACCCAAACTAAATTTGCCTCTTTGCATCACATTCTCCAAGCAGTGGAAAGATCAGTCTTGACATCCCTCATAACTAAAGCCTGAATCTCTCTGGTACTGGTCACTTCACACTTCTTCAGTCCTGTTTGCTCAGCTCCTAATCTATACAACTGGTATTTTAATTGCACTGAATTCTCCTTACAAGTTAAATAAATCACCTCCATAACCAAATCCTTTAATCTAAATAATTATACTAGGACAAAATAATAAAATACGAAGATGAGCAAAGAAGGACCAAGATTTTCTTTTTTATACTCTAAAAAATATTCTCATAATCTGGTCTTTGAAATGTAGTCTTGCTGCCTTATTTTCCTATCTTTCTTTAGTATCTCACCAATACCTGACAGGAGGTAAAACTAAAGGCTATGATCTCAAGAAATGCATTCAAAACCATGCTTGGCAAACCTGGTAACCTCTGACACAGCAGCCTGCTTAGTTGATGTTGGGTGAGTGGTGGGCATTGCTTGCCTGGATTTCTCTGAGGCTCTCAGTATTACTTCCCACAGCCTCCTCCTGGAGAAGCCGCTGTGTTATGGCCTAGGCAAGGGGTCTGTAGGGCGGGTGGGAACCTGGGTGACCCAGGGAGTGGTCAATCACTTCTCTTCAAACCCACAGCCTGGCACCAGGGGTGTCCCCAGGGATTGATACTGGGCCCAGCACTGTTTATTTTCCAAAGTAATCTAGAAAATGGGATCAAATGTATCCTAGTGAAATTCTGCAATAGTAGCAAACTGTCTGAGCAAGAGGACACGGGAATGCAGAGGCACCCTGCAGAAAGCCCCGGATAAGCAGGAATAGTGGGCTAATCAGACCATTGTGAAGTTCAGTGAGGATAAGTGTAAGGTTTTGCACCTGGGAAAGCATAACCCAGGAGTGCAGCACAGGCTGGGATCTACCCAGCTTGGGAGCAGCTCTGTGGGAAGTGGCCTGGCGCTCCTGGTGGACTCAGCTGCCTCTGAGTGACGTGTGTGCTCCTGCAGCACAGAAAGGGAGCAGATCCTGGGTGGCTCCAACGAGGGCTTCACCAGCAGACATGAAGTCCTTATCCCACCCCACACAGTGCTTGTCAGGCCACACCTGGAGTACTGAGCTCAGTTTTGGCCCCTGGTGCCCAGCACAGATGTGGACAGGCTGGAGAGGTCCAGAGGAGGGCCACAGAGGCAATCACAGGGCTGGGAAGCCTGGCACATGAGGAATGGCTGAGGGAACTGGCTACAGAGAAGATTGAGATTCTCTCTTTCACAAGGAGTCTATATATAGAGGACATGTAATGTGTGCAAGTAACTCCTGGGCAGATTCTGAACACAGAAAATAAACTTTTCTCAATGAGAACAACTGGCTAGCCATTGGAATAATTTCCTCAGAACAATGGTAATTTCCCAACCAGTGGATACTTTTAAGATTTGTCCAGACAGGGTGCTGGGCCATTTTGTCCAGACCATGTTTTTGCAGAGAAATATTGGACCAGATAGTCCTTGAGGTCCCTTCCAACCTATGACTCTATGAAAATCCTAAACATAGAAATGCAAAAAGACTATAAGGTAAGTCACAAAATGCATTTACAAAATGTCATCTCTTTGGCACTATCTCTTTGTGTACGTGTTCTTTTCCTAATGTAAATGTGCAATAACTGCTTTTCTTTACTGGGTCAGTTATTTCATGCAATTACAGTACATGGATAACTCTTGTCAAGCTAAAGACTGCTTGTGTCTCCAAATGTTCTTTTATGAGACTGCAAATCATGAGGTAGAAACCCAGCAAGAATATGAGAACTTAAAATCAAGTCTGAAGAAAGTCCTGAGAAGAAGTTTTGAGTTTTAAAAGTGTTAACAAATTATTGACCACTGACACAACACCTTCAGCAATGGAACTTGTTTCCTATTAGCAAAGGTTTATACAGCCCCTCAGAGAAGATGAGAAACAAGCCAGAAGAGTGACAGTTCAAACTCGGATACTATTTCAAAATGTGGCTTCTCACATGAATTAATTTCAGAAAAAAACCCTTCTTATTATGAAAGCAATAAACAGTATCTGTGAATGTATGCATAATGAAAGGAACACCTCCTGCCAACATTCTGTTAAGAGAAAGGACTGAAAAACAATAAACTTTTAAAAGCATGTAAACACACATACATAAAACATTCCCAGAATTTGTAAGCAATCCATGTTTTTCATCATATATAGAGAAACGAATACTTCTACAATTTTAGATGTATGTCAAATTAAGATTCACATCCTTAAAAATATTTTAAAATATTTTAAATCAATTAAGTTACTATAACTGTAAGAAATTATGTTTCTTGCAATTCTACTAGAATTTTTATTTTTTAATTAAAAACACATTGGTTGGAAAAAATACATATTTTTTGTTAGAGATAATATGGTAAAAAACAATTTTCTGATGAGTGTGTTCTTTCTACCACCCTTATGTTTCCAGAACTTATTAACTAATGTTATTTTCTGCTGATCTCAATGTTTCCATTAGCAGATGCCTTTTGAATTAAGAAGTCATATATGGCTTTGGAAGTGCTTGACGAGAAATAAGTCTAGTAGGAGTGTGTGTACTGTTTCCAAAGGATTAAAAAGGTAAAAGAAAAAAGACAAGAGAACTAAATCATGTCTGCAAGATGACTGAAGTCAAAATAATGGTGTTTTTGGGTTATGAACGGTAGGCGCTTTAGGCAGGGCTATGTTGAAAGTTACAGATTTTAATTACAGGCAATGAATGTTGACACTGCACAAGAAATTTCAACAGAAAAAGGTACAAACAGCACATTACTCATCAAAAAATAATAGATTTGCATGCTCTTAATACTTATATTAATCAACATATGATTCCATTAAAATTGCCAAGCACTAAGGACTAACATAAATCTTGAAACAAAACCTATTAGTGTCTCTGACTCTTAGTTACGTAGATTCCTAAATATTGCTATGAAAAAAATGGACTAGAATTGACAAAACCATTAAGACTGTAAATTTAGACTTCTGTAAGTACCAAGATTTTCACACACTGGAAAACCATAATAAAAAACATGCTTAAAAAATGGATCACAAACTGTAAGAATGGCATTTCCAAACTGCCTGGCTTGAGTTTGCAATCAGTTGTTTTTCAGACCTAGGCAATGAAATGCAAAGTTCCCTTTCCAATATCTTGTCTAAATTGTAGGAAACCAGTATTTCGTAATAGAGTGCTGTAATTTTAAAATATTTCAATAGATTGTTGCAATGGTTTGAATGGATGCAAATTACTGCACTCAGGTATGAACCACTGTCTGTGAAAGCACAGCTGAAGAGTGACCTCTTTCAAGAGTTTTGGGCACACTGAATCAACTTGGACTAAATGAACATTGTTACTACCATAAGAAAAATTAACGAAATACTAAATGAATGAACAGAATCCCATCACTAAGGTGACAAGCTAAGTTTGAAATTAGAGTTATCTCTGACAGTCCTCAGCTAGTGCAGTGGTTTGTGCACCATGCTTCGAGGTGTGTGCTACCAGGATCCCAGTGGTAACCAACATGGAGATGGTCTGGTGTAAAGAAAACTCAGGAAAGAACAGACATGAGAGTAATCTGCAGACACAGGAAAGGTTCCAGTCTAGGGAATAATACTAGTTATCTTCTTACTGGGGAAAGAGTAAGTAGGGATCTTAAAAGATTGAAAAATATACATTATATTTTATGAAAATTGTACTGACTGTAAGGACACTGAAAAATCCTAATGTTATTTCCTGGACTAGAGGTATTTCAAAACAGGTCAGGTGCCTAATCATCAGTTAAGAATGGTTTATTGAGAATTATTTTGTTTTTGTCTTTCTTTGAGGGAAAAATCTCAATGGCCTCCTCAGAGACCTTCTGTATGTTTCTCCTCTGACCGTGCAAACTTCCTCTCTGTAATAAATAAATAAAGAATAGGGGGAGCAAAACCAACTAAGAACAAAACTGCCTGAAAAGTGACAATTAGAAATTTAATACAATAAAAATGAAAGAAATCATAGGAACACTTCTGTGGTATGTCTAGGTAGATACAGCATCTTTCTTAATAATAAAAAAGCATTAAAAATTGTATGTTTGTGAAGGAATGGGGTCACATATTATGTAAACATTTTTATATACTTGTTACTGTGGCAGATTGGAGACAAATGCTTTGTCAATGCCTTGACAAATACTTCACAAGAGTCCTCAGAGTTAAAGGAGGGGGGCTGTTGTGTGCCTGTGTGCATTTTTTAACAAATCTTAGACTGTAGAAACTGAAACAGTGCTAATGTAAAAAGACCGTTATTTGAAGAGAATTAATAGAATATTCTAGATTACAATTTGCCTCATATCAATCCCAAATAAACAGAAAAGTTGGCAGATGTTTGAATAATACAGGTTTAAAAGGAAGATAACTAATAATACAAATCAGTATTTTTGTGTAAGTTTTATCAACTAAAACTTATTACAATTCCTGGTTAGATTAAAAGAATAATGAAACACACTTAGAGTTTGGTAAGTCACTTAGCTTAGTAGTAGATAATATCATGGAAGATGTTGTAATAGTTCAATAAAGAATATGTGAAATTTACTCAATACTGACTGACAGATTTCAGTAAGCAGTCATTATACAGTTGCCAAATTTGAAAGTGAATTTCTTATCAGCTATAAGAATTAGGAAGACACCTGATGTAATTCAATATTTTCATTTGTGAATTACAACTATAAAAATATTTCTTGTTTATGAAATCTTTCAATTACAAGAAGACCACCTGAGTGAAAGTAAAAAGAAAGGTAAATTAATTGCAGAGTAGCATCTGATAAACCAGATCCATTCAAATTAAAATTGTACCAAGACAGACAAATGCAAAGATATACATTTACAGAAAAAAAATAACACTGTCTAGGTTCCAGATTGGGGCACTGGATTTGGAAAGTTGGACAACTGGAAAAGTTTTACAGCTCCTACTGGACCAGCATCTAAACTTCAGCTTTTCTTACTACATTATGGACACTTCTTGACTCTGTGAACAGGGCAGCCATGATCAACAGTAAGAAAGTAATTTTTAATTTGGAGATTTTTAATACTGCCTAATAATCAGAATAACCTCCACAGAGAAATTTGCAGGGAAAAAATATTATAATTAATAATGATCATAAATGCATTTTTTTCAAAAAATCAATACATAAATTATTAATTTTCCTGAATATATCAAAAGATAAAGATGTGAAACAACATCTTATGGTAAAGATTCAGTGTTACAAACTTCCTTTATTTAAGATGAAAATTAATACGAATTTAAAGCTAAAATAGTAGGAAAACCTTTTTATGTTTACAGTGCTACTGACCTGTAATTTTCACTTGGAAACTTATTAGTAAAATTCTTTGCTGATGTGTACTTTTTCCTGGTTTGAATTTTAAGTTAAATGAATTTGCAATTTAGGTTCATAATTTGACCTTTTACATTTATGCTGTGTCCCGCCCCTTCAGGGTCCCTGTCCAATGGGCTCAGCTCTAAAATGGAACTCCAGGATCGTTCTGGTAATACAGTAACTAGCGAACACCTGGTGTCAAAACAGGTTTTGAATACATTTGCACAGAGTGTGTAAGAGGATTATTTTGCACATTAGCACTGAATGTTATAAAGGTACAAAAAGTGTAAATGTGACAGCTACAGCTGGTCTGTAAGCTGCACAGATAAACTGGCAACAGACCTCAACTCGACCAGCCTAGTTCGTTGGAGAACTGAAGTAAACAAGTCCCTGGGTAAGACACTGATAGGCTGGATTCAAACTCAAACTGGGAACACCAGCCAATCGCATTCAATCACAAATGCAGATGTGCAATTGGCCAGTGAGCTGGGCGGTGCTAAGACCCCAACCAATCAGATGCATGAGCATGGGAAATTTGAAGCCCCTATAAAAGGGAGCACCCATCAATAAACTTTGCCTGGTCTTGCATGGATTTGGGGTGTTTAATTGTGTACCTGTCTCCAAAACTGCGACATAAGAGGGTTTAAAAGCGGGTTCATGGGGGATACTTTAACTTGTTGGCAGTTGATGTGGTAGAGATATGAGTTCCAGCAATATTTAGACACACAGCTTTTGGAAACTCACAAAGTTTCCAATAAGTCATCCCTTAACTATCAGAAGTGTATAACTTATTCCCTAAAAACCTGTTATAGGACACTGCTGGAAGATAAGACAGTGGGCTAGACAGATTTTTGCTCTGGTGTGGAATGATTCTTGTTCACATCTACTGTGGAAGCTCAAGTAGAACTCACTCCAGACCTTAATGCAAAGGCACTAGCTAGACACCACATCAAGGTATGATCCTAACATTTACCAGAACACATAGGGTGCCTGCAGTATAGATGTGCCTTACAGGACTGTTTGCCAATTAAACACAGAATCCATACACTTTCTGAACTGGAGAAAAAAATGCATCCATTGCTGCTAAGATGTAAACTAGTCAGGTTGATCACAGCGGAACAAAAATTACTTACATCGGTATTACAGGAGCGATAACGCTTCCTTTCTCCAAGACAATATTTTCCTCCACCTGAAGGCCTGGAGGAATATGTTTATATGTTAGGATATGCACTAGAACAAACACAACTGCATGAGATATACTGATGCATTCTTAATATTAATACAAGTTCAAGAGATATATATTATATAAATAACAATAAAAATATGTTCAAGTTTTACGATGAGATTTTGATAAGAATTATATCTTTCAATTGCATTGGAGCAGACACAAAATATTACTGGGTACTTGAAAAATCATCACTAATAACGTTAATGTAGTTTGTGTAACTTCCAAACATTTTAATTGCATTTTGGATATAATAATAATAAAAAAGTTGGTTTAAACTATTTGCTCGCTTTATAAAATTAAAATGAGAAATGTGTAAACAACCTATGTGATACTTTTTTTTTCAATCATCTTACTTGAATACCAACAAAGACTGGTTTTAGAATCAGCAAAGACTGTATATTCTAGTTCAGAAATTCGATTCTGATTTTAATTAATCAGTAATAAATCTGAGGAAACTTCAGAGTAAGGAGATTTTTATTAGTGTGGATAATTGGCTGTTAAATTCCCAAGCTGCTCAAGAACATTATCTATCTTCCGTAGAGGTCAAATAATGAACTAACTTAGACTTATATGGAAGATTAATCAGACATCAGCTCTTTGGCTTGCAACTTGAAAGCAGAAAGAAAAAATACTTTGTGAAGCTTTCATAATAAAAAATTAAAATATTTACAATTTAAAATTAACTAAAAAAATTAAATCAATACTATTTTTCACATTACAGTATTTAACCAGGAAATGTTATCCTTAATCAACAGGTTTGTTTTTTTCCTAATGCAGACAATACCCTCCTCCAAATGCATTTGCTTGTTAAACATTTAAAATTTAATTGTTTTCATCATACCAACCCAAATACATGGTGACAGGAGCTGGGAAAAAAATCTTAGAATACTATTCATGCTCCAAACATTTCACTAGGCTTTTTAATACTGCTTTGAAACAAATAAATAATATAATAATAAATAATAAATAATTAATCTATTATTCTCTCACCAACACAGTCTGACATGTTATTGATGCAGACAGATAATTTCTGCTTTAGTATCCATTGAGTAAGTGGTGATATTGGCCACATTTGGTAGTTATTGTTAATAATAGGGGACAAACAGACCACTTTAAGTAGCATATCTGTCTTGCAGAGTGCAGTGGAAAGTTGCTGGACAGCCTGGCTTGGAAAATACAGATATAAAAAACAAATAACCTGAGTGAACAGAGAACAGAAGACAAGAAAAGGAGTGACAAAAGACACAGAATGAATTTTCATGAAAGAAACACAAATGACTTTCAGAGAAAGTGGTCTTAAAAACCAGCAGTAGTGAGAGAGATAGTGATTATGAGAAATGACAAGAAGAGAGTGTGGAGTAATAAAACTATCCTGCGAAGACCTATAGCTGTGGTGAGGTAATCAGAACAGGTGAAAGCCGAAACAGAAAAGAGCAAAAAGAGCAGCGATTCATTCAGCAAAGAACAGCAGTAAAAATAAGCATTCCTCATTAGAGAAGAGGTGGTGACAAAGAGAGGAGCACTTACCTGACAGAATGTCTCTGGAACAGTGCTCAGGACATTGGAAAACAGACAGATCGTGAGACAAGTACAGATATATACAACAGATCTGTAGTGGAGAAGCTGGCCCCTCTTCAGGGAGGACAAGCAGACCAATAGGGAGTAGTGGCAGGGAAAAAAGATGCTAAATTGTTTCAAGAGTCAGTTGGAAGTCACAACTGAAGTGCTGGACAAGGCAGCACATAAATATATTGTAAGCAATATAATATTACTGTCTATAGTTTGTATATAAACAGTTCTATTGAAAACATTGGAAATACTGTGTTGGGTTTGGTGTTTATTTTTTTTAATAACTAACTAGCAGTTATTTTATATCTGAGTCAAGAATTAAAGGAAATATGCCCTAAGAAAGAAACCCCTCTAAGGCATAATTTAAATATATTTTGATGAACAACAAGTCACATAAAGAAAACCATTCTGGTTACTGCTAAATATAAATCCAGCTATCTTTACAGTACATAAAATACATTAAAAGTGTGTCTAGTGAACTCCTGTTTAAGCATTTCTGTCTGCTATTTTGAAGAGAAATGTTGGCAAACTAGCAAAACATTTTTACAGATAACAAGTGAAACCACAGTTTTGAATAATTTCCAAATGTGTCTTTTTGTTGGCTCCGGCTTACTTTAGCTACTTACGCTGGACTGTCACAGTGTCTTATAGATGAGGAGACTCCTCCCCCGCAGGTCCTGCTGCACTCTCCCCATATTGACCACGGACCCCAATCCCCATCTATGCTCTGGGGCCAAGTGCCAAAAGGTACGCACTCTCCCTGATAACACCACTGAAAGATTTCACAAAAGAAACACAAAGTTAGCTTGGAGGCTGACAGAGTTATCAGGACAGAAAAATATAAGGGTCAGGCAATGACCAATTATAGGCATTAGCATTCCCTGTATAGATAACAAGACTAGTATTTTACTTTTTCTAGCTATGTTTAGACACTGGTGAGGGTGTGTGTGATTTGTTAAATGTCTCCACTCAGTCCTAAATTATCGGTCCCCAACAAAACAAAAGTATTTTTTATTTCATCAGCCTCCTTAATGTTTCACAATTCAGGAACTACAAGTTGCTTACATTCTTTAAAACATTAAGATTAATTTCCAAGCCCAGTTTGGTAAAAGACCCTCCACTGAAGATTCGTGTAGCGACTTCATTATAGAAAATGAAAAATTCCCCTGATAGTATGTATTTATTATTATAAAAGAAAGTGTGCATGACATTACAATGGAGGAAGAATTTGTCACAGTATTTCATTCACTAATACTACAGACATAATAAAAGTAGTGCTGAAGCATTAGACATGAAACAGGAAACCATTTTATAATAGTGATTGGCCACTTGTTTGGGGCAGAACAGACATGTGTACTTCATTCATGCAAACACTTGAACTTTTCAATCTTATTAGTTAAATCAGAAATACAAAATGAGAGACAGTTTGCACAAATTTTTAACTATTAAAACAAGTTTATAATTTAGTTCATCAAAGACCTTTTCTAAACCATTCAGAAATAAAATAACTTTGTTGGCATTCTGTTGTCTACCATATCACGGAGAATTTGAAGTAGCTCAATTTGATACCCTTTCCTACTCTTGCAGGCTTAGGTGACTGAGTAGAGCATGGACTCAGGTTTATCATGACCTGAATGTGCACATTTTTCTTCCAAAAGCTGAGCAAGTGCTGTTTTAAATTCCCTTGAATTTCTGTAGTATTGACCCTTCCTAAAAAGAAATACAGACAACTTCTGTATTCTGTGTCCATATTAATTTGACACACTGAGACATGCACGGAAGACATGGGCAGGTAGAAATATCCTTGTCCCTCTGTAAAGCACTACTGGAAAACTCAGTCCTAACTTGAAAGTAATATATACAGCAAAGCCAAGCCTTCTTTTCTGCTTGGAGTTCTAAATTTATAGACTCAATCAAGACTTCATCAGAGGACTGAACCGTTCATAGGGAGTCTCTTAAATCTAGATGTCTGTGTAATGCAACTCATGCCACATAATGAGTGAACTCACGTATTTAGCTAGTATAGACAGATAAATATAAATAGCACAGTGTTTTGCAATGCCTGTAATGACACAATAAGGATGGAGAATAAAGCATGTATGTGGGCTAAAGGAGTGCCTAAAATCATGTCTTTCTTCTCTTTACAAGGATAAATTGATAGAAATTTTATTGACTAAATACCAAAATCTCCTTATTATAATCTATTTGAGATGCCACAAAAGTACATTAAAAGATATTTAATGCTAAAATCAAAAGCTAAAAATGAAAATGCTTATAAGAGTAAAAATGTAAGCAACTAATATAATTAAAATTATATTACATACATTACAAACATATCAAGACCCAAGCTAAGAAATGCAGGATACTCAGATTTAAAGGTTATCTCTAAGAATATCACAGATATAAAACTGAATATTTAAACCATCCTAATTCCATACTGTTAGAACTATAGACACAATAGACAGGCTCAATTTATCTGCTTTATTTTTCCAAAGCTATATAAAATCCCTATAATGTGCATTTTCCACTGTTATGCAAACATTGTCTTCCACAGTCCCACACTGCCCTGTAAAACCTCTTTAAATGCTGGGCTTTCTCTTGTACTGAACTTAAATCTGGGGATTTAATGCTCACCTCTGTCTCTCTTCTTAACTTTCTAGTAAAAATTTATCTTACAGTGCCAGTGTAATTTATGTAATTTATGTAAATTATGTAATTTAAAAATTTATGCCAGTGATGCATAGAATTTCTGTCAGAGTAATTAGAAATGACCAAAATTTTCATTATTTCTAATTGGGCTTCAGAAATGTGCTTCCTCCAGGAATGACAACAACCTCATCTGCTATAATGAGGTTAGGACTATTGAGTAATCACCATATGAGGAAAGGAGAAAAAAAAAGCTATTTTAAAAGAACAGTTCTTCACGGAAGGTTTAGATCTGAAATATTAATTCTTCTCTAATATTGAAATAATAATTTTCCATTGTTTCAGCAGAAAGATGACAGTAATGCACTGAAATACAAATAATATAGCCAAACCCTCTGTGAATAAAAGCACTCTGAAATTTTTGCTAAAAAAGTGACTAATGAAAATAAAATACAGTGGCACTTTTATGAGTATTAGCTGCTTTAGAGAATTAACAGTTGTAACAGTATGATTTTAGAAAAATCACACAGCAAGTACTCTAATATGGAGGAAAATTGATTTCCTATATTGTATGAGGAAGAAAGATATTAGTGTAATTTAAATTTTAACTACTGATTTTCAGTCATCAATTCTAAAATTATTTTGCAAGAAAGCATAATGTTCAATAATAACTTACATTTACCTTATGTCAATGTCCAATAACAAGCTAAATCATCCCACAATGTAGCTAGGTAAACTGTCCTTTCAGCATTGCGTTTTCATTTTTTGTCTGTTTGCTCCTCTTTTACATCCCTAGAGTGGATGTAATCTATAATCTACAGGAAGGGTCACCTTTTTTATTACATTAAATTAAAACACAACATATGTGTTCCTATCAGTTCTGTCTTACTGTTTTATATGCACAGTTTCTTAATCAGTGTATTTTTTAAAACCTATCAATTAATTTACCTTCACAAACACATCTCTGGGAATACCAGAGAGAAACTTCATGCATATTTAAAATTCTTATTACAAATTAGGAAAAGTATACCTTTTTGAACCCAGCTGATATGTAAAACCCTTCACCAAATCATGAACATATTAAAGCTTCAAAACAGAACAGATGTAACAGTTCCATCAGCAGCAACAAACCATTCTATTCTCTTTCCCTATATGCGGAAAACAGCTGAATAACTCTTGTGGAAAATACTCTAAAAATCTTCAGGTGTAAGTAGATATCTATCATGGAAAAATTCAACGCAAAGGGTTAAAAGCTTGGCAGATTTATAAAACAAACTGAAAGAAGTTTATATTAAAGAAGGTTAGGCTGTTTTAATTGTAGAAATCCCTACACCTTCTGCCAATAAGATATTAATATATATTGCATCAAATTATGCTTTGGGTTTTTTGTTACACATAAAATGTAAGTAAATATCTAAATGCAATTAAATACTCTGAGATCTTGTTAGGTATTTAAAGCTGGAAATTTCATTTATTATATATTTTGGCAGAATCCATCAAGATAGGCCTTAACTTGGCTGGGGCCTTTTGGCATGACTGCAGTACAAATGTAGCAGTAGTAATAGTAAGAGTAAGAGTAAGAGTAAGAGTAAGAGTAAAAGTAAGAGTAAGAGTAAGAGTAAGAGTAAGAGTAAGAGTAATAACAACAACAACAACAACAACAATAAGAAGGTGTTACAGCACAGTAAGCTATTTATTTCACATCACTCTTTGGGAAAGAAAATTACATATTTAGAAAGAGCTCATGATTTCTGGTTTATTGCTGCCAGGAACTATTAACTCACAGGAAGCTTTGTGGATACAGTTTATAGACACAATTCTCTGCTGTTAACAGGCATCTTTGGTTAACAGGTTTATCTCTGTAAAATGGCATGGATTCTCTCATTTTCCTCTAAAATCTAACAATGGAACAAGATCATGGTGACTGGAAAAAGATGCTTGGTGGAGAACAACCTCTTGACAAGACAATAGATCAACAGTGTCTAAAGGGATCTCATCTTGTAGTCTCATGGTTTAAAAAACATAAATTGAGGTAAATTAAATTACTCTTTGTCATCAGAAAGGAGGATGGTTCCAAAATAAACCTACACTGTTGATTTAAGAGCAGGGCTTCTAACATTTTCTATTACTCTAATATAAGGTAACATTTTTAGTACTATGCTCTCTATTTTTATTGGCTAACTCTATTCACTCTATTTTTTTAAATGACCGGTTCAATAAATGTATTTAACATTTTACCAATATTTCCAAACCCAGCATGGAAAAGCCATCAGAACGATACCAGGTCATGGGCCCTGAATGAAGCCATTAACAAGCATTAATAAATTGTGACAGCTGCCCAAAAGCTTTCATTCTTGTTGTTTAAATATCAGATTACAAGTCAAAATGCACTGTTTGTTGAAACCAACTCAGCTAGCATGACAAAAGTCAGAGAGAATAGATGGCAATGGTCATTGTTCAGAAAAAAAATCCAATCTGCATCACTGAATCTCATGAACAGATGCAGCCACTCTCAGACAGATACTGGTAATGGTTTAATATAACAAGCTCTCTTCACTTTGTACAAACCTGCATAAAATATATTATCTTGAAAAAGGTATGTAGAATAAATTTTTTCCTCCCCAATATATAAGTTTTAAATCAATTAAAATATTTTTCTCTCCTCTTTAAGATCCGTCTAGAATTTGCCTTGTAACTGAGAAATGGTCTTCTAACATTCTTCTCTGAAACTTCTGATATACAGAGATTGTTTTAAATCAAAATTCTCATATTCAGATAGATATTATAGTGCTAAATGTATCTATTGCAACACTGACTTTCTATATTTTTCTGTTAGGTAGAAGAGTTTATCTGACTATACATCAAAGTCCATAAAGCTAAACACTTATGCAAGCATAACTGAATAATGAAAGAATAATTCAAAGTCAAAATAAAAGGTCCCTGAGAAATACAGACTTTTATAAAACCCTTCTATGGAGTCATTATTTTTTTCTATACATTTGTATGATTTGGTTTATATCTGAAAAAATAAAATTATTTTCCCTTCTAACAAAATAATAGTTCAGGCTCTAGATTTATGTTGCACATTTTCAAAGTCCATGGCAGACCTAAAGATGTAACAGTCCCTAATGGAAGAGTATATAAAATATTAATGTGTAAAATCAAATAAAGATTAAACTAAAAGATGTTTTACAAAAAATTGCTCAAGAAATATACAGAGGAAATAGAACATGTTTTGGGGTTGCTTTTTGACCCAGGCTCTAGAGTTTTATAGAGAGGATAAATATTTTATTAAATTGCACATAAAAAATAATGGTGAAAAAATTCTAAATGAGATTTTCCATTATGATGCACATGTATTATGATAAACTAAGTTTTAGTTTGAGCTGTTATAATTGCTGTGAAATACTTTAATTTTCTAGTTCTTTCTTCTTGTAGTCTTTGAACAATAAATTGCTTACTTGAACAATACATTTTTTGTACTCACCCCCTTTTCAATGCTCCCTGTTTGGCACAGAGTACCTTCAGCTGCTGGAATGCTGTTGGTGACACAGCGGTTACTTTTGCTGAGGCACCAGAGCTCTCTACACACTTCCTAGGAAAGAAGGCAGAAGCAAGTTGATCAGAATAAAAGCCTAAAATTTCTTCCAGTCCTCATACACACATGTATACACAAATTTGTTTTGAACAGAGACAAGACATTGTCTGGAGAGAGAAATCTAAAGATGTCTGTGATGGCAGCAATTTCGAAGGCACTATATTTTGCTCAAGAATATTCTGCCAAAAAAAACATTCTGAAAACATCAAAACTAGACAATAATATGTTTTTCACACCTGCTATGCAAGTAATGATTTATTGCTTTTTCTTCTTGATTTGTGCTAAGACTGAGCTTAGTATATTTTAGTGTTGCTATAGAAGCAGTTTTGGATGAGCTGTAGGGTCTCCATTAAGGCTATGATTTGACTCAAAATTACCTGCCAAAAAGGATACCAATAATTTTCACATATGAAACAGCAGCAATTACTTTTCTTTCCTTTATGTAAAAAAAAAAAGGAAGTTTTTGAGCTCAGACTAGCTGCATTTGTCTTCTGCAACACTTATTAAATCAGTGCATGTGTAGTTAGAACAAACTAACCTGTGTACTAAAGTATTTCCTTTAGGCTTCTTAGATTTGCAGCTGCTCTTTTATAAATTATTTAGCCTATCCTATTTCCCTATGCTGTCATTGTTAAAGTAACTGATATTTTCAAGTACTCTTTTTGTTCCTACCATATTTTCTCATTTGGTTTTGCCCATTTATTAATTTAAATTAAGCGAGCTTTACTGATTTTGGAGATAAATTGTTAAAATTAGCAAAGGGTTAAAATTTATAATGTGGGCATGATCCAAAATCGGGTGAACATCAGAAATCTTCCCAGTTGCGTCAGCTGCCCTTGGATTCAGCTGTGTACACACAAAAGAATCAGGAGATGTTTGCTTTTATGGTAAAATACTTACACAATAATATTTGCTGCATTACTTTGGGATCTGTGCAAGAGTTCACAACTTCCTTATACATATTCTATATTTTAAAATATTTTTTAAAATTTGGAATAGAACAAGATCTTTAAAATGATCATATGATAATCCTTACTGTTTCATTTTATTTTAACTGCTGCTTGAAATAATACCCCACCAAAAAATCCTTGTATAGATTCTATAGTGAAACTTAAAAGGAAAAGACATTGTGAATGAGTTATTGTCCCCCCACTAGGTTCATTGTTTCTTTGAGGTAATGAATAAGTATCTGGCACCTATGCACCCTATATAATGTGCTCTATACAGATCAACAGGAGCAACTGTTATGTTTTACCCCGAGATTCACGTTTCTTGCATTGTACTGCGTGTAAAGAATTATTTATTTATTTATACATTACTCTATAGTGGCTGCAGCAATCCTTCAACATCTTTTGAGAATCTTTTCTTGAAAAATGCAAAATTATTTACGGGCTTAAAATCAGCTGGTGCCATTCTTGCAGGGATATAATGTATTTAGTTTCATAACTGGCAGAAGCAAGGTGTGTTCTCTATAATCCATAAAAGAAATAGACTATGGGAATGGTTTGAAGTTATATGGAACGAAAACTGGTGATTCCCGGAGTTTCCATCCAACTTTTCACAATCAGGCCTAAGTTAGTTCATCCTAGTTAGTGTCTGGCTCTATGAAAGTTACAGTTATTAAGCCTATTTTGGGAGATATACTGCCACTTCTAAAAGTCTACCTGTAGCCAATGCATTTCTTCCAGAAATGGAAGCAGCATAAATATTTCCTTAACTTAAAACTCTGAACAAATTTTTTTTCTCACTCAGCTGAAAAATTTTCAAATTAAGATACACATAAATAAATAAATATACTAATTAAAACAAAACAGAGAAGTAACAGATGATGCATCACAAAGCTTCTTGAAAAATATAACTTGATTACAAATTTCAAAGAAACTAAGGTGCTAAAATTCAACACTAAATCAACTTCACATCTAAATCAACCATGAATCCAAACTTCAGTACAGTACGGATTTCAAAGTGAAAACCTAAAATGGATTCTTTTCAGACACAGTATGAGGTCCTCCTGTCATAATCCTGCCTTACTTGCTTTAACCTTTAATTCACTTCCTCATTTTGTTGAACAAAATTGGAGTAATTTACTTGCTCCTGCTTCATGTGTCGTTTACACTGTCAAATTAAAAAGCGTCAGACTGTGATAATTCTACTTGTGGCGTCTATTTATTTTAGATGTGACCAAGTTCAAATGTCTAAGTTAACAGTTGTTCTGACTTCATGGAGTTTGCTGCAATGTTCTGAAAAGCAAAACATTCAATTGCATTAAAAAACAAAGATTTCAAACATTCCAATATGGACAAAAGCAAAAAAAATCAGGTCTGGCTAGCAGTCTGGAGTTTTAAACCCTCTATGTTTCAGGATGATTTGAATTCAGAATTATGGCTTTTGGTCCAGAGCTTATATGCAAAATCCCACTTTTGACCTGCCTGCACAAGCACACCTTTCATATATTGTCACATAAGTGAAGTAATAATTAACATGTCTTTGCCATTTGTCTCTACAAATGAGAGCATTTGACAACTTCCTTTCAGAAAGATTCTTTCTGCATATTCAGGCTTCTCTGGTGCATTAGACTTTTCTAACTCACTGATCTAATTTGACATTTTAATTCAACAGTGTGAATTAATGAATACAGCTCTCCAAAACTATTTTGGTAATTTATCTGTTTGTAGGAAGATTACAAGCATGTCAACTCACCTCCCTGCTTCACAAAATGAGAGAAATATTTATTCCTAAATTGTTTTGAGAAGCAGTATATCAAAAGTAGATATTATTACTTACATAGTCTGACAGTCCTTTTTCAGACTGTAATTTCAGCAGGAACTTACCTCGTTAAATCCCTAAAGACAAAATGATAGTAGTGTAAAATTGCTATGGGCTTTATCATACTATTAATGTGTGAGCAGAAACCTCTACTTAATTCCGAAAGGAGTTCTGTTTGAGTCAGTTTTACAATATCCTAAAATCAACACAATGTTTCCTCAAAGGAAACCTATTCAAAGCACCAAAGATTCAAAAATTAACACAATATATCGATTTGTAGACATCATTTATATTAAATACAAGAAATGAAAGGGTTTTTGTAATATCTTTTAAATATAGCCAAATTTAAGATATTGTTTATTTTTCCCCACTGTATTACATTTAAAAGAAAACATAGACTCTGAAGTATACTCTTCATCACCCTGTACATGAAATGAAAAATAACATTAATAGTCATTTGAAAACAAATGAGATACCTAAAAAGAAATAAAGAATCCATCAGTGCTGTAATTTCATTAAGTGAAAATGGAATTATACCAGGTACTCCTATGTCTATGTCTTCTATATTTTCAACTGACCTTGGAAAGTTAAACAAAGAAGTTCTCACTAAGGTTCCTAAAGCTTTCTCTTCTCCAGCTCAGCCCCATGAACCCTGTACCTGCTACTACTTCAGTTATTTACTGGAGCTACTTCCTTACTACCACCATTTTCTGTAACACCTCTAACCAATAGTTTTTAATAAGCCAGCCTTAAAAACATACGAGAAACTGCCCTGAAAAAGTCAGGCCCAAAACCACTAATAGATAGTATATGCCTTTTGTTCACACACACACACACACACAAACACACACACACACACATGCGCGCACGCACACGCACACACACACACACACACATACACACATGCACACTCACCCACCAACAGGTGACCCTTTTAGAGTAGTCTTTTCCTCCATGGAAAAGGATGAAACTATCATATTTTGCCAACATTAAATTTGTTTGAATAATTTAATGAAACTAAGAGAAAGAAGCATGATCTGAAAATTAATAAATGACTTCAAAGTCAGTCTCCAAATGTCTGGATTTAGTAACTACTAATTTGTTAAGCAAACAAGGGAAAAGTTTTTTTAAATCCAGGAAACATGAACTGAAGCTGAGGTCTTTCACAAGATCAAGACAAGATAGATGACAACCTGTAACGGTGTATCTTAGGGTCCCATGACTTCAGTTTGGAATTCGGATGCTTGTATTTGCAGTAAATTAAACAAAGCTGAACCCATCTAGAGAAAAAAACACAGCAAATCAAATTACCTTCTTTTTGCCTAAGTATTATGAATGATGGAGCCTCTTTCTGTTGCATCATGCAGAGTTACATATAGGCATTTCAAATTAGGTAAGGTCTAAGCACCCTATATCATAATCATCATAAATTGCTACAATACAGCACAATAAAACTCAGTAATAGGACCAAAGATCAAATGCTGTGCTGCTCTTTTTTTCAAAACTCATGAAAGCTTCCAATGAATGTTAGCAGTTCAGCTCATAAAATTAAAAATTTAAAAAAAAAGATGGGAAATACATTCACAAGAATATTAAATTATGATAATTTGGGAAGTTCACCTTTTGTTCATAAAATTTTTAAATCCTAATTAGATTTATCCATTACTTCAGCATGTTTAATTTATAATATGCTGCACCTCTGAATGAGCATTTGCTAAAAGAGAGCATAAAAACGATTAGCTTGAATTGCAATTCAATCAACAATCATCAATAGAGTATTTTCAGGCTCATTGCTGAAATGAAGATGACAACTCAACTAAAACTAGAAGACCCTAATTAGCAAGTGAACTTCAGAAGGTTCAAAGTTTTTTCAGATAAGCACCCAGAAGTTTCCATTTTTGTGCTTCACAAACAAAAGCTCATTAAGTGGTGCAGCATGTTATGAATCACATGCCAAAAGAATGTGAAAGTGAATACAAAACTTAAGCCCCACCTTTGTATTACATTACCAACACTCTTTCATAGATACTGGGTGCTTATGTGAACCTTAGGGAAACTAAAGGAACTCTGCAAGGTCAATCACCGCCAAGTACCATCTTCCCTTTCAAGCCCATGCAACCTATCAATTTTATTCAAACGATATTCTGGTATCTGGAATCTCATTCATTATTGCTTCTACAATCATCTAATGCACTCCTCCTGTTCTGATCAACAGCTCCTCCTTGCACTTTCTTAACAGTATTCATAAGTTGCAGGCATATTGCTGTTGACATCTGTGTCCCTAAGAGAGGGAAAGAGAAAAACCAGAGACAAAGGGAAGGAAGAGGGGTGTTTGGAGACAAGATAGTCCTGAGGAAATAAAAAAGGGGATTGCAGGAAGTTGTTCGAAAAAGGGTGCTGAATTGCTTTAGGTTCCAGAAAGAGGAAGACTTCTGGGACTTCCCTTGGCTATACACATCATAAACTTAGAAAAAAGAGGGAACAAAATTCATTCAATTACAACACAATCCTGTAAGTCCTTATACAAGAAAAGTTGAAACTTTAATAATCTGTAATGCCGAAGTCCTGCACAATACTAGCAAGAGTTCTTTCAACTGACTAGGAAGAAAAAAAAAAAAAAAGGTTGATAAAAATGACAGAGTATGATACCAGTATCTTCAATTTCTCTCTTTGCTTGCACATGCTTTTAAGTCCTCTTTGTGAGCAATGCAATGCAAATCCATCTGATGAAACTACATATGCTCAGCTAACAAACAACAAGTGTAAAGCAACTTAGTTATGGTATGATATATGAAGTTGGGGTCAAAAAAGGCACTTTATAGTAAGTTATTATTATGCCCAAATTCAACTTAAATGCATGATCCTAGGCATAATATCAGCAGTGAAGGAACAAAAGGAAAACAGTAGCTTCAGTGCAAAGATACAACAGTGGCTTCTCTGCCTTTCTTTGTGAAAAATCACCAGCTTCCAGAATCTGCTTCTGCTTCTACCTTCCTATCAAACCCCTACATCAAGGTCAGTACTACTGCTCTTCATTTAACTGGAGTAAGCCACATCCATATTTAATGAGAAAAGTGAGAGTTTAATTCATGAATGTTAAAATTTTTATCACCCAATTACAAGGGTCAACTGCAATTCAGGCTTCCTGCCCTAGGGGAAATATTGTAGAACTACAGGTGTATAGTAATGTGTTTATTCTCCTGGATTTTAAAGTCAGCTGACCGGTGCTGGTGGAAGAGCATAAAATGCAAAAAAATTATACCGAATAACTGTAAGCTACTATATCTGAAACCCTGCTGCTAGCAGCCAGCAGCTTCACAGATCATAAAATGCAGCACAGCAATATCAAACATAAGAATAAAGTATTAACTGTTTTTAAAATGTTTGAGATTTTAGCCTCTGTCCTAAAAATGTAGGGACCAGCTCTAAAGGACAGCATTATTTTGAACCACAAAATCAGTAAGTTACAGCTAGGAATTTTCCAGGTATTATTTAAACTCATAAAGGAGAGAAATTGGAAGTCAAGTCTACAATTCTTTCCTGAGTTAACCCAGAGACAGCCAACAGCCAACTGTTACTAGGCAGATGCTCAAAGGATAAGGAGATCTGAAATCAATGAAACAGCTCCCCTTACAATTACCTAAACCAAAAGACTAAAGGAGGTTCTGAACTATCAGTGGAACTAAAACACAAACAGAGCAGAGAACTGAGACACATCTGACAATCAGCAGAAGAAAATCCACACTGCATCATCCTAGAAGATGTAGGATATCCAGCAGTTACATAACTGAGGAGGAACTAGCAATGCTTCTAACAACCTCAAAATCTTCCACTGCAGTGAATCCAATAAGATACCTGGAAAGCATGTATTGCCTTTAGGAAAAAGCTATGCATCAGTATTAAATAGTGCAATTTAGAATTTGGCTCACTGTATAAGTCATAAATTTAACATTCTCCTGAGTGTGAAAATATACCCTAGAAATGAAATATTTTAAATAGCTTGAGACATTGCCTTTCACTTTTTTATTCAAAATACCCATTTCTTCACCTAAACTCAGTAAAATTTTCCCTGTATCAGAAGGGATATAGTATAGTAGATAGACTAGTTTAGTATAGTACAGTACAGTATAAAGAACAATGCACATGTAACACTAGATGGATCATTATCTACTTGCTAAAATACAGCTTTGTTTTTTGAGCTCAAACATTTAAGGCATTACCTTGACTTCTTGTCTCAGTTAATGTGCCAAACACAGAGAAATCTGACCAATAGCTGCAATGCTTTTCCTGCAAGTGTTCTGTCCAAATTTAACTAAAGTTTAATTAGGACTAGTCCCCAAAATAGCACCAAAACTACTAAAGAGCTCCTTTTTATGCCAGATTGTCCCCTTGTCAGTAAACAAATGCACACAAAGGCAGAAACTTGAAGTCCCTTTAGTACTTGAGTTCTGATGCTTTAGTTAGTCAAACACCTCTCCATGTATTTAACTTCATGTTCCTAAGTAACAACAGCTCCAGCTTTTAACTGTGAAAAATTCATTGCAGAATTAAGACAGAATCTACAACCTAAAGCAACAATTTAACTTAACATCCAGAGGAAGCAGATGAGAAAATAAGCAGATGAGGAAAAGGAAAGAAACACACATTAACATTAAAGCTACAGAGTTGAAAGAGGTACTTTTTATAAAAGGCTAGAAGATTATGGCAGAATTCCTAAGCAGAAAGAACTTGAAGATTTTCCAAGTTATTTTAAAAACACCAATTATATCAACAGGTTCATCAGAGGCCACAGAAGATTTTTCTACCTGCACGTGTTTTGATTTGAGAGTTCTACTGTTTCTCTTGTCATGGCTTACCAGTAAAAATCAGTAGATTTTCTCAAAGAACATGAGAAAGAGAAAAAATACAAGCAATTTTCTCTGAGACTTGGAATTTATTTCCTTTTGGGTCACAAAAATCCTTGTTGGAAAACCTGCTCTATATCTTTTTTACTAGATGCTTCAAATAAAAAGGACTAGAAGAAATGCTTGAAAGAAGCTAGTATATGAACTACATTCACTGCAATTAGGTAACTTTTGCTATGTTTTTCTATTATAGTTGCACATATGTCTGTTTGAAAAAGGTCCATGAACTATTAATGTCATCTTCATTGAATAGTACGTTGAAAAGAAGTATCCAAAGCACTGACTGTTTACTTCTGCTAATAAGAGAGTTGAGAAGAGTATTTGATTTAGCTTATGTTGGGAGTTAGATCTAGCTTCACTCTTCAGTCCTGAAACCATTTCATTTACAAATAAATCTTTTTTAAGTAGGTTATTTTCATTTGCACTGCAATCTCCCAAAGGCTGCTTCCCCCCTGCTTCAAAATTATCACTTCAAATCTCCAAGACAATAATCAGCATGGTCACATTTGAAGAGCAATTTTGCATTTTGCAGAGCAAATATGGCCATGGCAGATAATATTTTTAAATGTATATACTATTTCACATGCATATTATTTATTAGAATGGCTATTACCAGACTTCTACAATAACTTATTTATTAATATATGCAGTTTGAATCCTATGATCAAAATTATGGTGATTATTTTCTGAGACACTTGGAAGTTATGTTTACATTGATGGCACACTGATGGAACACCTCACCCTATATCAGTTCAGAGATGTGGTAATGAAGACATAGCTTCACTTCATGAAGACATTGCCTCAATTATGTGTCAACACCTTTTTGGTAACTCTTAGGGAATCCCAAAAAAATGCTTTTAAAAAAAAATATAAGAAAGAAGAAGGCAAAAAGCAAAGATTACCTACATGTCTTCATTACTTCCAATTATTTCTGGTTTAGAAACTGGTTAAAGAAAGAAAATGTACTGTGCAGCACAATCATCACAACAAGAGTTATGCAGCTTACTAGTGTTTAAAAAAACCTACATATATGCAGAAAAGCCAGGTTTTTCACATTATGAACTTTCCAATTTAATTTAAAATGCAATATGCCTCTGAAGACTGTGCTATAAATCGTAGATCAAGTACCTGCAGATTTCCCTAGTCTGTAAATAAAATATTGTGGTGAAAATTTGTAAGAAAAAAAAAATATAAAAATGGTATGACTTAGATGAAGAGACAGGAAATAGGGCCATTAAAAAATACTGATGGGAAGTGAAAATCTAAAGAGAAACAATAAAGGCCAAAAGAGGCTTGATGAGGAATCAGAAGACTCAGAGCTACTTAGCCAGCTACATAGCTCTTAGATCCTTTCCAAACTTTAATCTGCCAAAGAGGCATTCCAAGAATAATACTGTATTTATCACCCCAGAGATATTAAAAATGGAATTTCTTGTTTTATTTAATTATTTTATCTGAATAATCTACAAATTTAAAATTATTAAAACTATTTACTTTTAAACCATAAGATATGTTCTCAATGTTTACTTAGTGTGGTCTCAGCTAATTATTTCATAACAAGCATAGCAGAATGCGTCCTTTAACTGCATACTTTTGGCTGGAAGATTTTAAGTAAATATTTGTAACACAATGACCTACATGTGAAGGTTTTTATTTCTACTGGAAATTTATTTACTTTAATTATTGTACACTGGTACTTGCAGCCAAATCTTTGCTAGTACTTTGCTACTCAGTATTCTATCCAGCTATCTATCTTCATGTTCGTCTGTTCCCAGAACAATAATTCATCTTTCAAAATAGATATTGGAATAATGTGAGATGCAACAGACTCAATGTCAGAGGAAAAACAAACAAACAAACAAGAAAATAAAATCAGGTCTGATAAATCAATACAGGTACAAAAGAAACTTCAAAATGTAGCTTTATATTGAAAGGTTAAAGCCGACAAAACAGACTTTATGTTTCAAGATTAATACAATATAAACTTGATCTCATTTACCTGAAATCAGGGAAAATTCTCTTACACTTTACAAGGATCGGGCTCGAGTGTTCTGGGCAGGTTTTTTTCTTACAATTAAAGAACAGCTTACCCGGCTCATCGTTATCCACATTTAGTGTACAGCACATACAAATGGCTCAAGCAAAAGATGCAGCATAAGGATTAAAATTAACCCTTTGCTTACAAATGATGGCACCAGACATGCTATTGGAAATCTGTAACCCACTACTACGACTAACTAAAGATTTATGCTATAAAGGAATAAATATAAGGACAAGTGACTAAGCAGAACACTCAGCATAAGGATTAAGACTTCTTACCCCATATTTACATTGGCGGGATGTTGCTCCATACTGGAAGCGACACTGTTCATCAGCATCATACACCTGACCTGGGGCCACAGCTGGATAAAGAAAGTCACGCTTGGGAGGCTCATTATCAAGGCAAGTACCACGGCCCGAACTGTTCAACATAAAGGACCAAATCAATTAGGAATTCTACTGACTGTAAATCACAGTAATGATATTATGTATCTAGTTCTTACTTTTACAGTGCTGGGTGTGAAACAAATATGATTGCAATAAACAGACAGTAAGAAGGTACACCCATATTAACAAGAGAAAATATTTATAGGGATTTAAGAAATTAAAATAATTTTTCATCATTATTATTTAAAAAAATGCTTCTTTTAGATTGTGAAATAATTTTATATATTATCCTTTTAAAAAGTGTGATAATTTCTGAGCCACACAAGACTGATTTTCATTTTGGTTTAGGACTCCTATTTGTTTTCACTGAAGAACAGCTACATTTAGTCATAGAATGAAAAATAAACATATTAAGCAAATGTAAGAAATTCAGTTTACAATTTGAAATGACCCTTCTGATCCTTCAAACAGCTAAGTATAATCTTATAGATAGCTGCAGCTCAACTGGTTTATGTAAAACTAAAACAGATTTGAGTTTCAACATGATGAAATGTTTATAGGATCAGGACCTTAACATGCAAGCTTTTTTTCCATTAGAGCGAAGAAAATGGTTACAGAGGTAAAAAAATTCTGCAGGAACTTCAAATTTACCTATACTAGGGTGAGAGAAAAAAATTTTATGGGTCCCAGACCTTCTTGTTGTATTAATATTTAGTTCTAAAAAATTCATGTTGGAACCAAAAGAATCATCCTTGCAAACTTCAGTATTTTCTTCTTTTTATATTCTCTGTTTTGTTCAGTGGTTGATGGTTTTTTTCCAAAATATGCCCATATTCAACCACAATATTTAAGTGTAGTGGAGTAAATAACAAAGAAAGCCAAAACCAGACTGAATTCTGTTTAGAAAACTTTATACTTTGCTAAATAAAATTATTCGTTTTTATTGGGTCAGTGTGCATAAAAGAGGACAGATGCTTTTTTACTTTCATTTCACATGTGAATAAGTGAGGATTTTCAAAGAATTCTTATGGCAACACTTAAAATTTTTTTCGACATTCCTACCAATTTTGCCAGCACTTATGTTCTGTTTTTTTCCAAACTTTTCCATGCACCTTGCCAAAGGAACGTAATTTCAGAAGTGAATGTTCTACACTGTTTTTTGGAGATCTCCAATTTTCTATACTTTTCATCTGCAGATAAAAAAAGAGCAAAAAGTGTCCTTTAACTACACAGTTTATGTTCTCATTTTAACTCTATTTTGATCAAGTCTTCAAAATATTACAAAAAGATCTTTTGGAAAAACGAAGAAACAAACCTCTGCCAACCACTTCAGAAGGTGGCAAATAGCAACTAATGCAAGAACCAGGTAAATACTGGAAAAAAAGACAGTATTTGATGACAAATTCCAAGGAATTTGGTGTGATTCACCTGCATGCATGCATACACACCACACCCATGCATCCACTCAGCTGAAATCTACTTTTAAAATATCAACTGTGTGGTTCCGGCATAAAAAAAATTATGTACTTTCCCCTTTATCTCATGCAATTACTGCAAATATATATATTTTCTAGCAGCAGAAGTTGGGAAGATATCCTTCAATCTTTTCAAATATTTCAGTGTTGTATTTTGCATGTATGAGGAGTGCATGTTAACAATTCCAGTATTAAAAGAACTGACATACAAGCTGATTTTTCTGCAATGTCTGAACTAAACTGCAGATAGGCTCTTTCCTTATACAAGCAGAGAGAAGTTTAGCATTTGGCACCAACTTGAGCTAGTATTGCTGTATGATGGGAACATTTCCATAGACTCCAATATTGCAGAGTTTACAAGATGACTGTAAACTGTGATCTTGTAAACAGACAGCCAAGGGTACAGCATTTAAAAAACCTCATTGCCTTCAGCGAGTTCTCCTCACAGGCATACGTACCCCTGCCCAAATTAGATCACAGAACCTATTCTAGATCTTTAAATTTGCTAAACAAAGATCTATACCTTCTCTACAAGACATAAAATGGCAGAAAAGCAAGTCAAAAATCCTTGTACTGGATACAAAAATATGACTCTTCTGCTCTAATACCAAATTCGTACTATAATGAAATATTGTTGTAGTAAATAAGCGAGAAAATTGCTACTGAAGTCATTCTCTACTAGCTGTATTATATCACATCCTCAAGACTGAAATTTTATTTCTGTCTTCCCTTCTGCTTCAGTTCTAGTATTTATCTCAAGCAGTTGAGCAAAACTGACAGCTGATGCTGTATTGCGGGAACTGAAGTATCCTGGAAAAGAAATGGCATGATCTTTATAAACACATTAATAAAACCAGAGACTTTCCATTGGTAATGAAAGGTCTGACCAAATCTGTGCAAAGGATGAATACAGGCTGAGGACCATTTAACCTTTCCAGAAAACTTTTACAGGACTTGGGAATGGTCCAATAATCTTGTGTGTATGTCCCTGTTCTCTCTTTCTTTGTTCCATCAAAGCAAAACCTAGATACTTGAGAAAAACATTTATGTTAAATCTAGGGGAACGAACCAAAAGGGTCCAAGAAGATTAATTGTTTTGGAGAACTTTATAAACAGAGATCTAATAGTTATTATCAGTCAGGCATATAAAAGTGTAATGTAAAAAAGGATAGGAAATGATGGCCCAAATACCTTCATACCCACAATTTTAGAAAATTTCTACTCACAATTGCTTTTGTGCTTTGTGATTCTATCTTACATAGGAAGCATCTACATCAAGTCAAAAAAAACCTGACAGGATATCCCTGCAGAGCATTTGCATTTTTGAACATGGAGTGGATAAATCTTTAATGTCTGCAACAGAAATAAGATGATCTCGAACTGACCATTATATTCTATTATTCTGCAAGGTACTACTAGTACTCAAAGTTTTTCTCATTTTCCTAAATTTAGGTTAATTTTGAGAACTTTTATGGGACATACTGGGACTTGTTTCAATTACAAAATAGCTAAGCTTGATGTCATTTCAGCCCAGTATTCCAGTGTAGTGTCTCCAGAGATCATTTTAAAACACTCTACAGTATAATTTAAATTCTTTTTTTTGTATTTTAATATCACAGGACAGCAAATTATTCTTCTGTTTGAAAGAATAACAAGGATACTAGAACATTCTAGGAAAGCTTAAGATTTCAGACTGCTATCACTGCTAACTGCTCAACCAAATTAATACCAACCAGGGATTAAATGTTTCTAAGTCTTTACAAACTGAAGAACACAAAACTCAGGATCACCACCTCAGCACATATATCACTGTTGTATCCAAGACCAATAAAGAGAAAAAGCAAAAACCATGAATGTAGATCTCTCAGGGTGTATGTTTCTGTTACAGTATCTATCCCAAATATCCCTACTTACACAGTATAACCCAACTCCTCCAATGGCTGAAGAAAATATCACAGAACACTGGCTCTGAAAATTGGTTTTGAATGTCACTCAATGCTCTAATTCATAATAATGATGTGGACTATAATACAAGCTACACTGAATGATCACAAATTAAATGTGTTACAAATATTTGTGAATATCAGTTATAGCTAATGATGATGAATACATCGATAGTATACATAATGCTTTATTTAATTCTGATACCAAATTGCCCATGAAATATGAAAAAAGAAATAGTTAAAATTATTAACAAAAAACACATGCCAATACATCTGGCTCCTAACAGAATCCTTGCTTCATACTCTTAAGACTGATTTTTTAAAAGCACCAGGTTATATTGCTGCATTTCAATCATAGAGTGTCATCAAGAATTTCCTGTGATAGATCTTACTGAAATAATTTAAAATTCTTGATTCTCCACCTTCAAAAGACAATCCTGCCTTTGAAAGACAGAGCTAGCCATCTTGCTTCTTTTAAGTCCTCTCCTGTTACTGACAAGAAAAATAAACGATGATTACAGAAATCACCCATTTTTTTTACAGCAAAACATGGAAGTTATATATCTACCCATACATATCGCATGGAATGAAATTCGTACTAATTGTTTTTCAGTCACTAACATTTTAGGATTTGTTCTTTTCTCCTATGAATAGATATTACAGGTTTCTACTCATCTCACAGAAATCTCTGTCTCCTGAGACTGCCCTCCAAGCTTTCAATTCTCAGTCTCTATTTCTGTAATTAAATTGTAATGTGGAATTAAAGCCATTGCAAAGCACTTATGAACAATTCAGTTGATTAACTGAATTATGTCAGTCTTTCACTCTACCTAAAAGCTTGATAGACAACAGCTAGTATGGCAGACAACAGCTGTTATGTGCTCCAAGGAATGTTTTCTCCAGAAAAAAAATGTATTTCCTTTGGTCATTGCAGTATCTGTGCTGGTTGATCATCCTTTCTGAGAGTTTTGGTAGACCTATTAGCATAACCCAACTTTGCTTTGTCTTACTGTCATTCTTTGAGCCATATTGATCCTCTTACCATCCCCTTTCCAGCACTTCTGCAAAATAATTTGCTTTCCCCACAACTGACTGAACTGATACTCTCCAGGTGATACTTCATGGTTATTCCTCAGTGCAAAACTGCTGTAGCAAGTGGTGATCTGAGCTAGTAAACTAGTAAACCCACATTAATCTTCCTTACCATAAAATACTGTGAAGATGGACTGAAATTCTATCAAAATTCATTCCAGTTACATTAACATCGTACCATGACAGCCTGGCCCAAACACAAGCAAAGATCCAAAAATATAAATCTAAAAGGTCCTACAGACCAGGTTTCTGCTTGGGTATCTGCATTTAATACCCTTATATCCTACCTGTCTTTTTACACACAGGTAAATTAATTCCAAACCGACTTAGCCTCTAAAGCACTAAATCAGCATTTTTCTCATCTGTTGCTAAGTCATAAAGAAATACTATGAAAAAAAAAAAAAATCCTTTCAGGATGCAGACTCTTCTGCTCTTTTAAGAGCAGTCACAGATATATTGCCATGTGGAACTGGTTGGTTTTTTTTGTTTTTTTTTTGCTTTTTGCTAACTGTTTACTATCCACAACTGAGATAAACCCGCTCTTAAAGCTGTTCTGTCTTAAGGATAGGTACGAATGGGTAAAAAGTGATTTTTGGTGATTAAAAAGTGATTCTGACAGCTGTCCTGCAGGTATTTGTGTTACTCTTAACAGCTGCCTGTTGTCACTGAGATAACATAAATGCTGGTGAGGAAACTAGAAACTGGAGAAACAAAGTACAATTCCACAGATTACTCTACCTTATGAAATAATAAATCAAATACTTTAAGGCAAAAGAGCTATCAATTAATTTACAGGATATTAGATCCATAGACAATAAGAAGTATAGATTTGTAATGAACAGATCATGATTAGGAAATCTGACATTTTTGAAAACAGATTCCAGGATTAGTAGATGAAAGAAAAGTTATATTTGACTCTCAGTACAGTATTTAACACAGTATTCTATACAACTGGAAAATGTACAAAAATTGTGATGTGTAACATAATGTGTGTCCAAGGTGGCTTTGAAAAATAATAACATGTCCATTCCAGGTTACAAAAATACAACTGAAGTATTATAAAAAATAATTTATCATTGAATCAACTATGCATAGATTTTAGTTTTTATCTAGTTTAAGTATCATTTAGAATCTTCAGTAATGATTTTTTTTGTAAAATTCACAGATGGTAGTAATTCAAATAGAGTTGCAGACACTGGTGTTGGTAGAGAAGTATCTCAAAAAACCTGAGAAAATTAGAACTATGGAAACAGATTCAACACAGTACTTCTAGCTTTATGTTAGTATAACTGCAATTTCACTACCATCCCACAGATTTCAAAATCAACCATAAATCAAATCTATGGAATGGAAAAGAATAATAGAGATGCTAACAGTAAATTATAAACTCAATCAATAAAAAAACCCAGTGTAAAAAGGCTCAAGATAAAAATGTTTTTAACTGGCAGTAAAAATTTGAAAGACCACTGCATACATCAGGCAATTTGAAACTGTGCAGGAGCATTATGAACAAATGCCCAGCTCTTTTATATTTTCAGAATAACACAAGCCACAGAATTTTATCATGTTCTTTTCCCTAAATCCAAAAATAAGAAATAACTTCTTCACTTTATGTTCAATTATGTCCTCATCAACTGACAACTTATTGTCAGGACAATTATAGGATCAAAATGGAGTTTTTCAGAGAAGAGCAACAAGCAGAAGTAAATGAGACAGAGAACAGCAGAAGTGTAACAAGAATAACAAGCTAACAAATCCTTAAAGGAAATAATCTGAATGGCAAGTTTACAGTCAGAATTACAAAGCTGTGAAATAATCTTGGAAGAGATATGAAAAACATAGTCTTCATAGTTAAAACCAGGCTGCAATGACATTCTAGAAAGACTACTAATGGGAACAGCATTGAATTAACGTAAGTAACTGGCAATTATAAAACAAAATATCTATGCATATTTTTTAAATAATGCTAGTGTTAAATATATATATTTATATCCCCTTAGTAAATGAAATTGTATTGTGAGAAGCCTGTATCACACATATATGGTAAAGATGATTTACTCAATTTACAGCTTTAGTTTAGACATTCATCGTAAATACATTAGTACATAAAACTGCGTGGTGCACAGTTCAGAGGTATGATACAAAATACCTTAAGCCTATTACAGTAATTGATGAGAAGTTTTCTTCCTCAGAATAGCACCAACATTAAATAACTGTCTCTGCCCACTGACTCTACAGCAACTCAAGCACCTTGACAGCCCAAGTCAGTGATTCTCAACATCATGTGGGAAGCTACATTTGAACCAACCTAAAGGCTTTGGTCTAGATTAGTCTCTTCAGAAGAGATACAGAAGACATAATCTTATTCTGAAGTTAGATCCCTAAAAGAAAAGGAGATGCTAATTTTGTTCTTAGTAGCCTCACAGTTAGACAATTTGACTGGCTTAAGTCCCTCTCCTAAAAAACAGTAAGTGTCTGAATTACTGAACAACCTGTATTTCTTAAAGGAATGATTGCACTGATGACACTGAACTTGCCAGCTGTTATTTGCCTACAATAAAGCCTATCTTTCAGAATCTAAACATATCTGTTAAGAAGTTGTTCTCAGTGAACTCATGGTATGTACTTGTTTTCAGAATTTAAAACACATACAAGGCTTCATTATGAATCATCTTTACCAATGTTATATATTGATATGAGTACATTTTTGCGAATAACGTATTTTGGTGGTTTGAATTTTTTCATAGTGAAATTTCAGGTAGCAATCTACTTCAGGATAAAAATCACCGCAGAAGTAGAGTTTATCAGAATTTTTAGGAATTAATATAAAGATCTATGCCATCCCCTTCTTCTATAATCTTTATATTCTCACCACTGGTACCAAAGAACATTGATAAGTAAAAAACCCACAATCTGCATGAATAACTTCAGAAGAGTGAAATATAAAAGGATCAGGGCTATAACCACCTTCCCTTCATTATATTCCCTCACATTATGTATGCTTAAAAAGCATGATCCATAGACAAATTCTGCCCTCCTTTATTTCCCACTCTCAGCTTAATGAAGTAATGAGGTATTCATTCTGAGCACTTCAGAATCTTTTGAGTAGATTAAAAACAGTAGAGAACTCTTAAGGTGGTGAATGGACCAAAAGGAGCTTTTGCCATTACATTGAAATAATGCTCTACAGAAAAAAGAGTTTTCAATGGCTCACTATATTTCTGTCTATTCATTATAGAAATGTAAACCATCAGGACAGGTCACTATATCTCTACAATTGATCCCAAAAGGTGTCGATTTTTTGAAAACTCGTTTTTCTTGAGAGATTACTTACTCTAAAAAGCTGGTGATGTAATCCCGACTGCAAGCTGACCAGGAGAAAGGATTGGTGTTTGCTGTAATATGAGCTGCCATTAGCTTTGCTGCTTCATGACCTTTGGTCCCACAGGAATTTCCAATTCCATCATGATTCATACCAAAACTGCTCGAAAGAGTAGGAGAAAAACAGCCCATTACTTTTCTACAGCATCATATATCACTTAAAACATAATGTCACCTTTACAGCGATCATGTTGGACCTAAAAGAACACAGTGCAGGAGGACTTCTAGGTAGAGAGTCAGTTAAGTTCTGTTTAGTTTATTCAGATCTCATAATACAGCACAACAACATAACTTTCTTTTCCTCTATGGATTTTTGGAAGCATTTTATTTGTTTTCTAAAGCTTTTAAAGAAAACATAATACTATTCTTGAAAGACAAATACAGAGCATTCAGGCCTTTATTTGGTATGGTACCTGGATATGGAATATTTATTATAGTGCAGACTCCTGGATTAGTAAAAAAGGAAAAAGAATAGGTGCTGTTGCTGTAACAATACACTATATATAGGCACAGTAAAACCAATGATAACTCAAGTAGAACATGGGTTTTGCAATTCGTAGGACCATCCTGTATACACACTCCCTCTCTCACATCTCAGTATCTACTCACAGAGGGACTTGAAGCCCTTCTGTTAGAGCTTTTTTTGTCAAAGAATGTCAAAATGAAGACAAATAAAATCAGCAGAAAATATAGTAAGAAACTTCTGGATAGAACTTGGCCAAAAGAGATTTTCAAGAAAGAAATTAACTTTCAAGAAAGATGATTATGACCCTAGTAAAAAATATCCTAAAGAATCCTTATGTCTTAGAAACCTTTTAAACTATAGATCATCAACATATCCTTTAAATTAAAACTGGAAGTAAATTCACAGACAATCTATTTCAACAGACTTTCAACACAGACTATCTTTCTTTAGGACAACCAACAATGTATACGTTATGGGTGTGACATAAATGAGGCACCTGAACAGAATATTTCTCAATAGTATACACATTTCTAAAACTCCACTTTCTTATTCTTTGATTAATTTCCATCACCTGGGGAGAAAAGTTTGTTCCTCATTTCTTATTTTTTTAAATATTAAGCTTTGATCAAATTTACTTCTTCTCGAAGGCTTAAGAAATCAGAGGGGCAGATAATGAGAGACACAGGAATTTCCCTGATAAAGGACAGAGAATAATTGAAACAATGCCAAAACTGATGTTTCAGAATTGATGTTCTGAACTCCCAGAATCATAGAGAGAGGTCTGTCCTTGGAGTCTTCCATATGCTAAAAGGACTGACTCTCTAATTTCTTATTCATCATTAAGGAAGACAAATGTGTTGAGGCACTTAGTTTTCATTTTCATTTAGGACTGATTGCAAGAACATACAAAATGCAGTAGATAAGAAACTGACCTTTTATCAGCTGACAATACCACTTCATACCAGTTCATGCCACTTTCTTCACTGTGAAAGCAGTGGCAGGTGTGTTATATTAATCTGAACATATTGCTCCAGAATGTGGTATAAAAACCCAAGACTTTAACATTACCCTGAACTTCAATACACTGAGTACTATTTCACCTCTTCAAATGATCAAAACAACCTACAAGTTAAAGTGTTGGCAACTATTCCTTCCAAATTAAAAAGAACATTCAGTGAATCATGGATGATTGCTACAGCATCAGGAAGGACTTCGTCATCAAAAAAGCATGGCTGCCTTGCCTATAGGATGTGTCTCTATGGAATACATATTCTGCAGCAATGCCTGCGTGTGTCTGGCTCAGTTTGGGATATCTCACAAATGCAGAAGCCATACACTGTATTTATACACTGGAAAGATCTGACTGACACCTTAGACTGTTCTATAATCAAATAAAGAATGTCCTTTGCTTATAAAGAATAATGCTTTAATCAACTCATCTGAGCAATGTATGTAATGCAATAAAACTTTCAGACCAATGTTAATTTATTATGATCTTTTCAATATCTATTTGTATTAGGAGAGAACTTAGATGCCATGTGCAACAACCTGAACCAGAATTTTACATTGATAAATGTGCTTTATTTACCTGTTCTCAGTGGCAATTATTCCTAGAATTTGGGGTACATTGAGCAGGAACATTCCTTTTTTAAATGATTCTGTACCATTTCTGAAAACAGAAAACCTTATTTTTTAATAATCCCCATAAATTACTCCTTTATAGAAATGAGTTGGATGATTCTTATATTCAGTTTATCTCTAAATTGTGTATTCCATTTGTTAAAACACTTACTGACTTCAGTTCTCTGGGAAATTAAATTTCTATCTTTTGGGCATATAAATAAAAGAACAAACTTCACAGTTTAAAAACTTTCCTTCTACCTGCTCTTCTTGTGAAAAAGATAATGTTGATGACAGTGGCAGTGATATGCCTGATAAAAAGCATGTCTGTGACTGGAAGCCTTTATTACTAATGCACATGGGAACTCCATCAATGCCTTTCCATGAGCCAGTGATATACTTTATAAATATTCATTCACCTAAATCATCTATTCCTTTCCAAGAAGGCTCTTCTACTTGTCCTTGCTTCTGAATTTAGGAGGAATGTGATCATGAGGTGCAGGTAGCTTTTTCTGATGTTTCCAGAAGGGTTTTACAACTACTGTCATAATTTCCAAAGATGGTAGTGGCAGCATGCCATTACAATCCAGTAATCTGCCCTCCTGTGGGCAGGATTGCAGATGGAAACACATTTCTGACCAAATTACCAGTTTTATTTCCATCAGAACATGCTGGTCATATTTGGCCATCATTATATGAAACTAGGTCTTTACAAAAGCATGTTTGCAATGGGATTGGCATGGAGAGGAAGGGAAGAAAGTAAGGAACATAAAAAATTCTTTGTGGAGCCACTGTTACAACTTGCCTACCTTTTTCAAACTCGTTAAACATAGACAGACTGTGTTCCTTTCATTGGCTTAAAAAGCCTGTCTAAAACTACCAGTATAATTTTTTCTTTAAAAGAACAGCCAGATGGGTGAGCACGGACTGAAATCTCCTCAGCTGACACAGAAGTTATTCTATGAACTTCCATCTATCTTTCCACCTACCATCTCAAGGAAGGATGTTTAACCCAGCAGCTCTTGTGTTTTCATTCATTATGGCTCCTCATTTCTTGAGAGCACTTAATTTACATTAAAGAATTGTGGAAAGTAGAAATACTTAAGAACTTTAAAATTATAACTGAAACTCTCTGGCAAATTATCTCTAGTTTGTTTGCTTCTTAAAAAATTCAAAGGCAGCACATCCTAGTAGTGCTCACTGCATGTTTTACTTACTAACATCTGTAAATGAAGAGATTTTTTTTTTCCTTTGGCAATCTGTTTTTCCTTATATCTGAAAAAATTATCTGAGGGAATTATTTGTAATACACATCGAACTTACAATCCAACCCCAAAATCACAGGGGAGATAACTAGTGTCAGCTGCACTGAATAAAGAGCAACAGATAAGCAGAGACCCTGGAATATAAGCAGAGGGAAGGATGTGAATATAAACTGCTTATCTACCCTTTCTTTATCTTGCAAAAAAACAGCATTGTAGGTTCCTGCAGTTTCATTTGGTTACTGATATGTTAGTAGTTCTAAACAATGATGGTTATGGCTGCCAAAACACTTAAAGCTGATACACATGAAATTACAGCAGTCATTTTTGTGGGACAGCCAGAATGCTTCCATTCTTATTTACTACCCAGACACTTCAGATTAAGAGAAGACAGATCCACACCAATCTGATTGCATCTCCACACACCTCACTGAGATTTATTTTGTATAAAATGTACTGTATTAGCCCTGAAGCTTATATTAAAAGTGGTACTCAGGTGAAATGCTGTTTCTCAAACAGTTATCTCTGCTATCCAGCTGAAGTACTAATTATCTGCACATCAAACAGTTTCCTAGTTTTCTTAGAGTTTGGAGCATTCAGAAAAGCACAGATTGCTAATGTTTCATTTCGCTAAATACAACAGAGAATGTTAGGTTTTTTTTGTTTCTTGACAATTCATGAGTTATATAAATTTGGCCCATTATTTTAAAAGCAGTGTCTTTTATGTTGCTCTACCACTTGTTTAACAGCATTAGGAAGAAGTGTGCCAGAGATAGAATTGTGAGTCAGTGCATTTACACTGTAGGTCAAAGGGGAAAGTATTGGCTCCAATCAAGAAGTAAACTTCTGAGTAACACTGAGAAAACTTCAGCTTTTGGAAATTCAAGATGCCCTGATGGTTATGATAAACTTCCACTTTAACCCCATTTATTCTTCTTGCACTTTTGTTAAGACCTTTGAAGTGTTACTATATTCAGTTTCCTTGATAAAAATGCTTTGATATTATTCTGAACATATTTCAGATATGTAGAGACAGAATTTTCCCATATTTTAAATATAAACATGTCATATGACTGAGGGATTTTGCCATTTGCTTATAACATTTTATTTTATATTCATGTCACTAAAACTGAAGTCCCAAAGAAAACTTTTTAAAACCTGCAATATTATTAAAGCAGGCATAAAGCAATGTTTCTTTAGCAAAAAAAGACCAGGGCAGGGGATGGAGGGTGGGGAGTGAGAGTTAGAAATAATTATGTATGGTCTTATGTGGCTTGTGGACACGTTTTGGTTAAGATTTTTGGTGGTTTTGTTTTGTTAGGGTTTCTGGTTCTTTGGTTTTTTTGGCTTGGTTTGTTTTTGTTTTATTTCTTTTTGTTGGGTTTTTAAATGAAAAAAGATAAACTGTCCCTAAAAATTCAAGCCATTTGAACTCCATCACTCCTAGACACCTACCAGGAATAAGGATAATGTTTACTGTTTGCTGTTGAGGTGTTCATACCCTGTAGGTTTGAGAGAGACTGCTGTAGTTAAAGATGGAAGACATCATCATCAGAGACAAAACAATGACAACTGAACCAACCAGAGAGCTGACAGGAGGTGATGTTAGTACAATCCACCCTAGCTGTGTTACAACTAGTTTTGAAAAAGCTATTGTAAAGTTTGGTATATGTGTCTCTTTTACCTCAGACTGGAGTATTTTCTTTCTAGCTGTATAAAAAAGACATTGCTTGACATGCACTCCTTCTAGAA